ACAGCCTGTTCATAGTGTTATTGTCCTGTTCTGCACTGCTGCAATGACACAGAGTTAAACGGGACCTGTTATTAAATAACTAAATATAAATGTCAGATTTTTTCATAACATATCAAGTGTATCAGAATCAGAATTAACTTTATTGGACAGATGCGTAAGCATGTTTGGAATTTGACTCCGGTTTTCTCTTTGGTATCAACATATAGTACATGCACAGGTTAGTGATGTGAAAAAAACACAAAAGACTGACCACAATGCATTGAAATTTGGAATGATTTAACGCCCCCTGTCTCACACGGTCGTGGACACAAGAGACGGGCTAGCGGACTGCTGGATGTGTGGAGCCAATCATCTAAACTTAACAATGCTTTTATGTGAGTTAAATATCAGCTCTGAAGTTCATCCCTCATCAGGGAGGAAAGAACAGTGGTCATTGAAACTAAGGCTTAATAATAAAACATTAATCAATGAGACCTTTAAGTGTCCAGCATGTGCTGTGCACAATATCGATCCTTACTTGAATTTGAAAAGTGGGAATCAGGTTCAAATCCATTCCTTCAAGTAGAAGAGGAGCAGAACTGCTGCTAATAACCAACCGCCCTGCTGGTGCAGCTTCAGGCAGGTTGAGGTCTTTCCTGCTGCTGCAGGGTAGATAGGTAGGGTACCTTAAGTATTACAGCATCAACTAAATGTGGCACAATGAATACAAAAATGAATTGTATTGTTTTGATCCAGGGGTGGATGTATAAATGTAAACACTATGGGCTAAAATATGGTTGGATTAGGTCCAAAACTTGTTTTAACCATGTGGTATTTAGAAAATAAATTGTACTCAAGTTTAGAAGACGTTTATATGTCATTGTACGACAGGGTTTTACAAAGAAATTTAAATTGTCATCCCAATTTGCTACAAAGAAAAGTAACAACAAAAACGGTATTACATGAAAGTGGAGGACGAGGGATGAAGTCTGGCAGATTCTCATTGTTATGGATTAACTAAAAAGTAGAATTGGGTATTTTTGTTTTACCGATTACTTCAGATACGATTCATTGAGAAAATAAATATTGTCATCTGGGGGGTCCGAGTCAATTGCTACCAATTGTCTCCATAAAGAACTTTAAAGACTATGCAATTTTAATGAAGTGCACATGATGAATTTACCCTTTTAATATCAATCAGAACTACGGAGAGTTGGCGAGGGCGTAGCCTTCAGAAAGTCCCCCAAAATGCCAGTTTATCCGCCCTGTCCTCCCGGTCGCCCTTCGTCTCTTACCTTCTGGTTCTATGGCGCAACTCCGCCGGAGTCTGGCATCACTTCTGGAAGTCTTGAAACTCGCGCCCGGTAAAACTATCCGCGTGTCGACACGCCGCTGAACACACACGAGTGAACTTTTCCCGTTAACTCACGGTGCAGTTGGCGAACTACCGGCGGTGATGCTGCGCAACCGCGCCTGTAAGGATGACGTGTTGCGTTCACGGCCTCCTCCAAAGTTCAAGCTTCGGAGCACATGGCGCAGTGACGGAAGTTACAAACTGTTTGTTTCGGACTCCTTGTGGAGGTTTATTCTTTGTTGTTCATCATTGATTTGCGTGGGCACGTACGTCCTTGTGTCTGCATTGTATGCTGTTCTTTGTTATTTGTATACCTGCTTGGTGGCTCTTTTACATATATATATGCTGTATAAATATCTGTCTATTATTATCAATCAACCAAGATGTGTTCGATTTAAGGCACATTTAGGCGATTTAGGCACAATCTAGTGTTGGGTTTTGAAGGTATACAGAAAATAGAGTCGGTCAGAATTCTGATTCTGATTTTAAATGTTTTCACTATATATTATATAAAATATGTATTGACTCTCTTTCTTATCCTCTGTGTGGCCCTATAATGCTATTGTGGTGTGGTTTCTTATTGACATTTGTGAAATTGTACATTTCCAACTGTTTTCAAATGTGTGGGGGAGCTTCACAAGGAGTGGACTGAGGCTTGAGTTACTGCATCAAGAGCCACCACATACAGACGGGTCCTGGACATGGGCTTCAAATGTCGTATTCCTCTTGTCAAGCCGCTCCTGAACAACAAACAACGTCAGAAGCGTCTTACTGGGCTAAAGAAAAAAAAACTGGTCTGTTGCTCAGTGGTTCAAAGTCCTCTTTTCTGATGAGAGCAAATTTTGCATCTCATTTGGAAACCAAGGTCCCAGAGTCTGGAGGAAGAATGGAGAGGCACACAATCCAAGATGCTTGAAGTCTAGTGTGAAGTTTCCAAAGTCTGTGTTGGTTTGGGGAGCCATGTCATCGGCTGGTGTTGGTCCACTGTGCTTTATTAAATCAACGCAGCCGTCTACCAGGACGTTTTAGAGCACTTCATGCTTCCTTCAGCAGACAAGCTTTATGGAGATGCTGCTCATCTTCCAGCATGACTTGGCACCTGCCCACACTGCCAAAAGTACCAAAACCTGGTTCAATGACCATGGTATTACTGTGCTTGATTGGCCAGCAAACTTGCCTGACCTGAACCCCATAGAGAATCTATGGGGCATTGCCAAGAGAAAGATGAGAGACATGAGACCAAACAATGCAGAAGAGCTGAAGGCCGCTATTGAAGCATCTTGGTCTTCCATAACACCTCAGCAGTGCCACAGGCTGAGCATCCATGCCACACCGCATTGAGGCAGTAATTAATGCAAAAGGGGCCCAAACCAAGTACTGAGTACATTGTACTTTTCAGAGGGCTGACATTTCTGTATTTAAAATCCTTTTTTTTATTGATTTCGTGTAATATTCTAATTTCCTGAGATTTTGAATTTGGGGTTTTCATAAACTGTAAGCCATAATCATCAAAATTATATCAAATAAAGGCTTGAAATATCTCACTTTGCATGTAATGAGTCTATATAATATATTAGTTTCACCTTTTAAGTTGAATTACTGAAATAAATGAACTCTGGCACGATGTTCTAATTTTTTGAGTTTCACCTGTATTTGGTTTCAAGTACGCACACTCTAAAAAATGTCACCGTAAATTAACAGTATTTTACTGGCAGCAAGGACGCCAGGAATTTACCGTTATTTTACGATATAATACCATAAAAGGGATTACTGTATGTTACCGTAAACTTGAACCAATTTTACTGTGAATTAGGTGCAATTTACTGGCAGTCGACGCTAGTAATTTACTGTTTTATTTATAGTGTCTACCGTAATATATGGTATGTTGTCGTATATTGGATTACAGTTACCATACAATTACTGTTTTTGTGTTATGAATGCCAGAATGTTACCTTTTACTTATAACCGTATACTTTGCATTTAATTTCCCACAAATTAAAGAAAGACAACCAAACTCATTTTGGTCATAGGGGTTGGAGTTCATTAGATGCCTTTAAGACAAAAATGTTAAACATTTGTAACCAAGAACAAAACATAAAATAGGCCGCATGTATACAATAATAAAAAAATGAATCATAAAATCATTAGGAACAAGGTAAACTAACTGCAACATTACGTATGGAACACGTTCAATTGACCGTGGCAAACGGCTGGTGTCCGTAATCCAGTAAATACTGAACCAGAAGGTAAGAGATGTAATTCTGTAAAAGCAACCAAAATAAAATATTTAGAAACACTGTCATTGGTAAAATATTAAAATTACAAAGATGAGGAAGACAACAAGATGTAAGGAAGGAGAAAGTTAATCATGCTAGGCAAATAACACTTACCAACGTTACTTGGAGAGACGAGGCAATAAGAAACTCCTCCGATGTTGAACTGCACAGGTGTTCCGGATGAACTGAGATTACGCGTTTGATGTCACGTTCAGGGTCACGATTAACACTCAAATGACTTTTAGGCAATGAACACTTTGAATAATACAAATATTTATAATCTATAAATCTATAAAGCGGTTTGAATCCTGGCTGCTCCCTGTGCCCAGTTGAAGTGTCCCTGAGCAAGACACCTAACTCCCAATTACTCCACATAAAATTCTGTCAAACCATGGGCGTTTTGGATATAAGTGACAGCTGCATGTATAGTAATGTCCTGTAAGTCAAAGTCATCATTGTATCTCATGAGATACTATCTCATTATGATGACTTACAGGACCTGTTTTTCAGTGGCCGACATGGGCTTCCATACATTAACCTACAACAAATGTAGATGGATCGTGATTCACTGCACTTGTATGTGTATTTCCACCACTTCATAAAATATATGTAACATGCAGTTGAATTATGGTAGTCTGCTATTACTGTAAATTGACAGCTTTAACTGTTTATTCATGACAATGGCCGTTAATTTACAAGCAAGGGATGGACATTTAACTGTATGTTACAGTTATTATGACATACTGTAGGATACCGTTAGAAATGCACCGTAAATTTACAGCAATTTGTTACAGTGCAGGTACTTCTAAAAGGTTCCATCAGAGGCTGCCATGCTGAGAGAGGCCACGCACAATACAATTACATGTTCTTACTACTAACCTTAATACTAACCCATTGCATTAGCATTTCATTCCACTTTATTTTATTACTTGTGCACTGTTGTCTTGTCTGTCTACTGTCGCGCACTAACCGCCAAGACAAATTCCTTGTATGTTTGACATATTTTGGCTAATAAATGTTTCCTGATTCCTGATTCCTGATCCTGATTCCTGATCCTGATTCCTGATCCTGATCCTGATTCTAGTACCATCATCATCATTTTTGTCTTTTTTTGGGATTGTTTATCAGTTGGCATGCACAGTTGCTGCCACCTTGAGGCTTTCTCCTACCTCAGTATCTTTTCTTTTTAAAGTTGTTATTCAAGACCAGTTGTCTTTATATCAAAGAAATAATGAACTGTGATCTTGTTGTGAGGTATTTCCAAAGCCGAGAATCCACCACTTACTATAAAACTACCAGAAACTACCAGTTTGTGTGCTTCATGCAGAAAAGTACTTTTAAGACACATGCTGCTATGCTATAATTACAACTTACCAGGAAATGAGAAAATGTGTTTTGAAAAAAAAAAAAAAAGTTTTATTATGGTACAAAACAGTATATGGTTATTCAAATAACAACAAAAAGAAATATACTATCCCCCCTTCATTAAATACCTTCTTCAACTATCAACATTAAAAGTAAATACAGTGATATGTGTGGTTGCATACTAAGCTGTTTTCCTTAGTACATTAACAGCAAACTAATAACTATACAAGGAAATATCTTTAGATGTGGTCGGTTACATTGAGTGTGATGCAACTATGTCTGCATTGCAGCTTCTTTAGGACTGGACTTAGGCGCTGGTTTTAGTTGGTCTGACCATCACCGAGCTGTCGCTGGACAACGCTTCGTAGAAGCCGTTCAGGTACTGGTGCTTCAGTCGGTGCTGGAAGTGGACATACCTTACCCCTGGTCCGTAGCCAGAGAACACGTATGACACCTGCAGGTCAACACAGAGAGGGCCATGAGACGTCTAGATCCTGGTGCTGTGATAAGAGTGGATCCCTACTACCCGTGAGGGGACTCAGTAACTCACCTCCTTCCAGGTGTGCGAGTAAGCGCTGCGGTCTTCTGTGGGCTTGGCGCTGTGCTCGGAGATCACTGTGATTTTGTCTGCTCCCAGTAACTTCACATGCAGCTCAAAGATGGATTTATGCAGCCGATTCTCCTTATACCTGTAGGAAGGTGCACCAGGAAATCATGATGTAGTCTGGCACATTCACAAGTTCACACAAAGCAGCACATTAAATGCTGCCAAATACAGAATAAAAAGAAAAAATGCATTGAAACTTATTCAAAAGTTCAATTTATCTGTTGTTGCCAGTGTCCTGGGAAGATCTTTTGCATGTGGTACTAATTGAACGGTTTAGGGTAGTACCCTGGACAAGTCAATCACAATCATCTTCCAACAATTCAGTCTACTAGGTATAATTTACAAAAAATATATGTAACAACTGTAAAATACCGCTGGGATGGATTTGGATACTAAATTACAGTAAAGCTGTTACACTCAAGCATCACCCATTTGGGTTCAGAACCGGGCAGAAACAACTTCAAACAGGAACACCTGCTGCTGCTGTAGCCACCATTATTACGCATTCAACACACGGGCACATGAACGGAACATTTACCCACCAGTCTTGGATGAATATTTCAGGCTGAAAGTCGTCCAGCAGTTCATCCCACAATCCCTCTGCCTTCAGATCCACGACCTGCTCCATGGTGAACCAGCTGAGAGCGAGAGAGTGGACAAGAGTCAGACATTTTTCGGGATCCCGTCCTTACGTGTGCCAGTCTTCCTCTAGTGTAGGTGGAATCATATGCCCACGGATAATTCCCGTTGTGACCAGCTGCATAGTAACAACCACCTGTATCGCGGCAGCTGGCAGATCACAGCACCTGCTGGGATTCCACTGCGGTCGTAGGGGAGTGTTTCAGTGCTTGTGGTCCAGCCGCTAAAGTCCCCTATGAATTGAGACAAAGCGGATGTAATATTCTACAGAAGTCATTTATTCCCTGTGTTTTGGTTCACAGCTCAAACGCAGAACACTCCGTGCCTCACCATCAGGTTGGAAACATGGAGGTCCACGTCTTGACACTCCATGCAGGTCGGGTTCAGGTGGAGGGGTGTCCTTGCTAACTCCTGACAGAAAACAAAGGGACAATTGTAAATGGTACCCCGCCCACTAAAGCCACGGTAATTGCACTGAAAATAACTCAAAGCCAAAGCATATATCTTTATGACAGGGTCACTGGGTGTGCCTCTGTGTGACAGAAAAAAACACCAGTGTCAGTCAGCAGCTCCAGAAGCTCACGTTGGTAGTTTTGGACAGGTGTAGGAGCACTGGGATTAACACAATTTGCAAACCTTTGTTTTTTTGTTTGCACACCCTGTGGCCGTTTAATCTCAGATCCAAAGACATTGCAGTTTACTTCATCATCAACTGACTTTTAACCCCACCAATATGTCCCGTTACCGTGATAACCCCAATTCCCTCAAAGGGAACCTGTCCTACTTATTAAATTATTCGCTGTATTATACATTTTTTCGGGTGCATGTTTTATATTTTCAGATTACAATATTTAATCTTTAATAATTTCAAGTTTCAGATCTTTTTTTCACTTTCTATTTTTTTTTTTTCACATTCAGACTTTCTGACGCGGGGCATCAACTGAGAGGGGGGTGTAACCATGAGTGACAGCTTAATAAATAAGGCTGAGGACAGATTCAGACTTTCCGGTTATAATAGCTGGTCATTGGTCCATAACTTAAAAAACAAATGAGATATCAACAAGGTTTTAATAACGTTAGATGGCATTGAGCCAATAGGATTCGCTGAAAAATGAAGCCAGCGATGACTTGTGAAACTGGGAAAAAATCTCCCCAGAGGGGCTCTATAGAGCCATTTTTCATACCCAAATGCGCGACCCCGAGAATATCGACATTTTTCGCACTTTGGCTGCGACCGCGAAAGTTTTAGAAAAGGCATCAAAGGTGCGATTGAAGTGGTGAAAGAATGGACGAATTCTTTGAAACACAATAGGGGTTCGCCCGAATTTCAGTCGGCTCAGGCCGGGTTACTTTGAAAAGCCTGCAACAAGCTGTACGCGCACGAACATCTGTGCGCCGTTATGTAAATGAGTCACTCCTGGATCAATACTATGGACCGATAAGGAGTCCAGCAGAGCAGCACAACGTAAGAGTCGCGTTTCTAACGTTGCTCTACTACCGTGAGGCGACGGATTCTTCAGCAGATTCCTCCCCAGCGGTTTTGCGTCATAGACGGACTTCCAGTCCTGACTGTCGGGCATCGGTGCGCCCTGCAGGCTCCATTCCTCTGCACATCTCTTCTTCCACTCGGACATACTGCAGGCCCAGACGCTGTGGGGTCTCACCCTTAACGGGTTTTTCACGAAGTATGAGTCGTTTTTATTCCAGTATTGTGTTCAGGCCACACCCGGTGTCACTGCGGTCAAGACAGCCTCCACTCCACTCCAAAAACAGCCCACACGATAATTTGCGGTATGCGTCCAGGCATTCTGGTAGTGGGGTGTAAAAACTGACTTCAAAATAAGAGCAGTTCCAGTGACGGACATAGAACATGTCGATTTCAGTCAATAAGTCTGTAAATCTTATACAGATGTGATAACGCACTAAAAACATAAGGAATAGATACAATATGCATGATATACAGCATATAAATAACTTTAAACAATAAAAATAACTGCATGCAAACTGTATTGGGGGAAACATTTTTTTCAATTGTTTATTTACTTAGTCTAATACATTAATAAAGAATACATTTACACCGACCAGAGAGTTTCAGGACATTATTATGGTGCTTCAAAATGAAAGCCCTTCAAAAAACATTTGTTGAATTTCAGATTAGATTTGAAAGGAAATGGTCCATAGTAACATTATAATTTCACTTCAGTCTGTAGGGGCATGTCTGGTTAACAGCTAGCGTGAAACTAAATCATTGACCTAATTATTAATAATTACTCAGCAAATCCACTAAATAAATGGGGCACTACCCTAAAAAGGGACTTATAACATAACCATAAATCAACTCTCATAATTGATATTCACTAATTAAAAGCAAGGAATTGAAGGTTTAAGTTCAAGCACAAACGCAAAAAGTGATAACAGAAAACGGCCGTTAAAGTATAACACAGCTTAATAAACTTCTAACAATACCAATCAGATCATCGCTATTTGTAATCAACAAAAACTATTATACAATATCCTAATATCTAAATAACACACAAAAAAAAATTCATGCATGTGGCGAGGGAGGAGTGTGTGTGTGTGTGTGGGTGAATGTGTGTGTTTGAGATAGAAAGGGGGAGATATGAGTGAGAAAGGGGGCTGGAAGCTAAGCCGCTAACCATATGGCAGACCATGCGGGGCTACGAACTGGCAGAGGAGTTACCAGGAGGCCGTGTTTGTTCAACAACCGTGTTCTTAGTGTAATCAAACCTCAGTTGTCTGTATGTGTAGAGGGACATTAGTATTCAAAAAGTAAATTCTAAAACAAAAGAAGTAAATACTCAAAGCAAAGCAGATCTTAGCCGCCACAGTGAGACATGATAGCTTTTAACCTGATCACAGACAATCAACTCGGAAACTGAATTTCTGCGCTCTGAATAGATACATGATCCAAATTCCGGACTCCATTGTGGGGATCGATCTAGCAAACCAACAGAATATATTCCATCAGTTGTTCCCTCTGACTCGGGAGCAGTGAGAACGCGGGTCTCATGTGGTAACTCTATCTCCTGATTCATGAGTTCCAAGCCACTCACGATAGGATTGTTACCGCGAGAACATTAACAGAGAGCGATCTTCAAAGCCGAGAACCCATCATTTAATTACTATAAAACTACCAGAAAAACCCAGGGGTGCAAGTGGATAGATATGTTTACAGTAAACTGTTTGTGTGTTTCATGCAGAATAGTCTTTTTAAGACACAGGCTATGAATAAAACTTACCAGGAAATGAGGGGAAAAAAGTATTTATTATGGCACAAAACACTGTATTGTTAAATTTCCTTTCTGCTCTCCATCAAAAGAAAACCCAAAATCCAAATTAAAGCAAGCATCACAATACCTTCCTCAACTATCAACATTACAAGTAAATACAGTGATTTGCTGTGTTCCTTAGTACATTAACAGCAAACTAATAATAAACATTATTAAGGAAATATCTGTTGATGTGGTCGGTTACATTGAGTGTGATGCAACTATGTCTGCATTGCAGCTTCTTTAGGACTGGACTTAGGCGCTGGTTTTAGTTGGTCTGACCATCACCGAGCTGTCGGTGCACAACGTTCCGTAGAAGCCGTTCAGGTACTGGTTTTTCAGTCGGTGCTGGAAGTGGACATACCTTACCCCTGGTCCGTAGCCAGAGAACACGTGTGACACCTGCAGGTCAACAGAGAGAGGGCCATGAGACGTCTAGATCCTGGTGCTGTGATAAGAGTGGATCCCTACTACCCGTGAGGGGACTCAGTAACTCACCTCCTTCCAGGTGTGCGAGTAAGCGCTGCGGTCTTCTGTGGGCTTGGCGCTGTGCTCGGAGATCACTGTGATTTTGTCTGCTCCCAGTAACTTCACATGCAGCTCAAAGATGGATTTATGCAGCTGACTCTCCTCATACCTGTTGGAAGGTGTACCAAGAAATCACGGAGTAGTCTGGCACATTCACAAGTTCACACATAGCAACACAATAAATGCTGCCAAATACAGAATGAAGAAGAAGTGAATTAAAAAACAGGTCTAATTTATTTCCGGTTGTCAGTTTCCTAAGAAATAACAGGTGGTATTATTTGAATGTATGGAGGCAGTGTTATTTGGTAAACTTAGTTAATTGATTCCAGGGAATTATTATCAGTGCCACCTGGAATTCATTGAAGTCACAGCACATCTGGTCAGCTAAACATGCAGAAGTAATGCAGCCAAGCACAACATTCCATTCAACATATAGGAAGAATTAGTCCAATCATAAGTTAATTCATCTATCCCGTTATTTGTTTACTTTATACTTTACTAAGCCATGGGGTTCTTCATGAGTTTGGACTGGTGGAGAGTGCCTGGAGACTGAACAAATGTGAGGATGTGTTCATATATCTTAATATTGACTAGAGCTGTAAATAGATTAAAAAATTAACTAACTGATCGCACATTTTGAAATTCATTAATTGAGATTAATGAATGTTATTGTTGTTACAATGTTGTTTATAATTAATATTTGGTTTTCTTTTAAAGACTAAATCATGAAAGTAATGAGTAATCACTTTAGAAAATGTCTATTTTACACATTGTTGTTTAATTGTTAATGTTATTTTAAACGCAAAACTACACACATTTGATCATCTTGGAGGCAAGATGAACTAGCGACTCTTCCTGCTGTTCTCGTGCACTTTGCTCTCAACTCTCCATCATTTGACAGCTGTGTTTGAAGTGCCAACAATCTTTCAACATTTAGTGAGGAACGTTTTCAAACCACATTCTTCTAAGACACAGTGGTGGTCCTTTGCAGACTGTGGGTAACGTTAGATGTTGAGATGGAAGTAGCATAGCAGCTAGCTTAGCCTAGCAGCTAGCTTAACATAGCAGTGCTTTAAGTGGTCCGTTTGCTCCTCACACCCCTTCTGTTTGACACGTGGAGCAACAGTAATTCCTCTGCACAGTTCACTGCTGTATGTCGCACCACTGTTTGTTTTACTTCCAATGCAAAAATATCTCTCCGTTTTGATGCAACTGACTGCAGCCAGTCAAAATACAGCTGTGATTTGGACAATAAATGAATTATCTGTTAAACCTGTAGCAGTGGCGAAATAATGCTAGGCATTGATTGTTAAACAAACGAGTGAATGCAATATTTCTTCTGGTTTGTACTGCAGAAGAAATATGTAGTTAAAGTCCTATAGGCATACTTTTACGTTTGTGAATTATGAACATTTGGTTGATCAAATAGCCCTTGCACTTGGACTGATGCGTTCATCTAGTCAAAGGCTAAACAATTTCTATAGCACAAATATTCCCAAGTCATAACACTATTTTCTGCATGTCGTCCACGCAGACACGCAAAGTGAGAGCCAGACAACGCCAGTCACTCAAACACTCAGCCAGGCAAAACTTAAACAACAGTAAAGGAAGCAACTAACCAAACTGATAAAACCACGTTGATGAGCACTCAACACACGGGCACATGAACGGAACATTTACCCACCAGTCTTGGATGAATATTTCAGGCTGAAAGTCGTCCAGCAGTTCATCCCACAATCCCTCTGCCTTCAGATCCACGACCTGCTCCATGGTGAACCAGCTGAGAGCGAGAGAGTGGACAAGAGTCAGACATTTTTCGGGATCCCGTCCTTACGTGTGCCAGTCTTCCTCTAGTGTAGGTGGAATCATATGCCCACAGATAATCCCCGTTGTGACCAGCTGCATAGTAACAACCACCTGTATTGCGGCAGCTGGCAGATCACAGCACCTGCTGGGATTCCACTGCGGTCGTAGGGGAGTGTTTCAGTGCTTGTGGTCCAGCCGCTAAAGTCCCCTATGAATTGAGACAAAGCGGATGTAATATTCTACAGAAGTCATTTATTCCCTGTGTTTTGGTTCACAGCTCAAACGCAGAACACTCCGTGCCTCACCATCAGGTTGGAAACATGGAGGTCCACGTCTTGGCTCTTCAGGCAGGTCGGGTTCAGGTGGAGGGGTGTCCTTGCTAACTCCTGACAGAAAACAAAGGGACAATTGTAAATGGTACCCCGCCCACTAAAGCCACGGTAATTGCACTGAAAATAACTCAAAGCCAAAGCATATATCTTTATGACAGGGTCACTGGGTGTGCCTCTGTGTGACAGAAAAAAACACCAGTGTCAGTCAGCAGCTCCAGAAGCTCACGTTGGTAGTTTTGGACAGGTGTAGGAGCGCTGGGATTAACACAATTTGCAAACCTTTGTTTTTTTGTTTGCACACCCTGTGGCCGTATAATCTCAGATCCAAAGACATTGCAGTTTACTTTATCATCAACTGACTTTTAACAGGTATATATTGCCATTGCCTGCATCGTACTCTGTCTCAATAGAATCTAATCTAATCTAAAAACCAAACGATCTGCATGTCTCCATGCAACAAACCAACTGAACAGCAAAAAAGACAGATACTTCCCCAAGAGTTTATTGTCTGGTTGCAAAAAGTTGTCTTATTGGCTCACTTGTTTTGTCTTAGAATAGTGAACGAATTTAAATTATTTTGAAAAACCTGCGACAAGTTCCACGCGCTCTGTAGTATTGGCGGCTCTGTAGTATTGATCCCTCCTTTGCATCAGTACTACGGAGACTCTGCTGCTCGATACGGAGTCCAGCAGAGCAGCACAACATAAGAGTCGCGTTTCTAACGTTGCTCCATTACCGTGAGGCGACGGATTCTTCAGCAGATTCCTCCCCAGCGGTTTTGCGTCGTAGACGGACTTCCAGTCCTGACTGTCGGGCATCGGTGCGCCCTGCAGGCTCCATTCCTCTGCACATCTCTTCTTCCACTCGGACATACTTACTGCTGGGATCTCACTCTTGCACGAGTTCTCCAGGAAGTCTAGGAGGGTTTTATTGCAGTGTGGCTTGTGTGTAACCACACCCTAGTGTTGCAACGCTGGTAAGGCAACGCAGAGCACGCGCCCCTCTGGCCTCTTAAAGTCGCAAGGCTTTAATAGTGTGATCAGATGGAAAAAGATCAAAACACGTCATCACCGAGCCCCGGGACTGGGGCTGTTATTGAATAATAATTGTGTTCATACAAAACAAGCGTTATACTTAGTCTCCATGTACAACCAATGTGTTGATACCATGTCCATTTTTCAATAAGTCATACAACTTTGACTAAATAGAAAGAGAAAGTGGAGGACTCTACCAATGCCACCATATACTATTCATGAACAGTTCTGATGAATACCATCAAATTAAGTAAATTGTTCCATCATTTGGATTAATTTGTGGGCAAAAATTAAACGTGAAATGTGGTGGCCGGTTTATACACATATACTATTTTCTTTGCTTATATACAACCATAGTTGTAATCCAAAGCCAAAAATAGGAAAATAAATCGACTGATTAGCATATTGCTCTATTTTGAATATCTTTGACTTCTTAGGTGTAATTAATGACCAATAAGTAACCACTGAAATAGTTTAAGTAAGTGCTTTTAAGTAACCACTGAAACAGCATTGCAGACTCCACAGAATATTTGAATTGAACAATGAATCACTACATTCTACAATAAGCATGAGTCATTAGTGGCAGCCTGCTAGTTCTTATGGTTTCTTTACCATGCACTTTGGATATATCTGTATGTGGTTTTGCCGTGGTAACAGGATTGATATAGCCCTGACCTTTGTACTGCATAGGGGATTTACAATACGTATTGTCACAAGAGTAGAATCTTTGATTTGTATCAGTTTATATCATTTAAGAACAAAAAGCAGTTTGTGTATTTAAATGTAAAAGGGTAGCTGTAAAACATTTGACATGTAAAGAACAAAACTGATTTACAATGTGTTCAATACACTAAAGCAGTCCCATTTCCTGACCTTTACAAAGGTCAAAGGTCATTGTAGAATACAACTAACTGTTACTAAACCCGAATGGATGTTAGTGAGTTTTTCTTAAGGAGAAATAACTGATTGTACGCGTTATTAAATCTAAAAACATTAATTAGTTGAAACTAATAGAACTAGACGTGAGAAATTATCTTGGCAGACTTACACTCACGTATGGACACGTATCTGTGGAAAAACACAACCCTTTATTCAATGACTAACATTTTTTTTCAGCTCAATGTGAACAGTCTAACTGAGCCCCACCTTTCCGGTGTACAGTGCATGTGGTTTCTTGCTAGGAAGTTACACATGTTTGTGATCCGCCTTGAATTGAGGTAAGCTTGGGGATGAGATGTCGTAATAACCACATCTGAACCCTTTTTTCATGGCAACGATGACAGCGAAAGGCTTGGTCAACTCACACTGCAAATACTTGTCTCCCCCTTGTGGATTCTCACAGTATGTTGGACAGTACAGTCGACGGTACACTCAACTTCAAACTGTTTATATATGTATGACATGCTGATGCATTGTCTGAGGGGTTCGGGGAAAAATAGAATCATTTGATTTTGTAGAAGTAGAGCTGATGAGTTTTTCAGCATAGGGGCTTTTGTTGCTCAAGGCGGTCTAAAGACAAATTAATGAAATACTGTTTAAAGTCCACCAAGATTGCACTGTGTTTAGACTTGACTAGACAAAAACAAACAAATAAATCAATAAAATCTCTAAGCAATTTTGCATGAAGTCCCCATCAACTGGGGACAGAGCAACAAATGACTGAAAAAAACCTGGGCTGACCTTTGACCTTTTTAACAACTCTTTAAATTGTTGAAGTATCTTTAATGAAATAAGAAACCAAAAGCAACTATTAACAAGAGACTTGAATAAAGTCTTTAATCTTAAATAGACTGAAATAAAGTCTTGTTTAAATCTTAATTTAGATTGGGATGACAATTGCTTAATTTAGTTTTTACACTACATGCCCATCCGAATCAAACAAACAGCTACGGAAGCTATTTTAGAGTCAAGTGTCTTGCCCATTTTTTGAAGTTCACTCTGAAACAAAACAATGCCAACGCACTGCATTTTTTTAATTAGAAGAGAATTTTACAATAGAATAGTTATTCAAATAAAACATAGTGTAAAAAGGTAGCCTAAAAGAAAGAAGTGTAAGTATAGAAACAAATCTCACTCATTTACAACTTAAGTTGTAGATCAGAACAGATGTAGAACAGATCCTGTCATTGAGGTTAATTCATAGTTCAGCTACTGATGACGTAAGACGACCCCTAAGACCGCCCTATTTATGGTTTGAAGAGGGCTAGAGAAAAGCAACAGGGGGCAGCAGACACTACATCGGTACAGTGTACTTCTGCAGAGTAACAGGCTGTCTTCAAATTCATAAATACTCTCAAAGTACAAAACAACACGGGTGCGACACGTTTAAATGCATTGCCCAAACGTTGCAGTTACAGTGTTTCATCTTTTCACGCGCCAACTGCGCTGGAAAAGTAGGACGGCCTAAAATGAGATTATGTAACTGACATTCAGTTATACGATCAGCTGCCATTTGTGAGACATGTGTTACAGGCCTAGAATAACAGGTATTGAAAGAGGGAATTCTACAGATTCCAGTCCTGGTTATTTAAGACTTTGTTGTAAAAAATAGGAGTTTTGCTTTGAGTTCAGTAGTCTTGACTGCATCATAACATAGAATATAAATGGTAAATGCACTGTACTTGCAGAGAATATATTTTCTTTAAAATGATATTAAAATACAGGCATCATATAAAAAGGTACAATTGAAATCTAATTAATTTATATTGGGGAAAAACATATCAGCACCAATGCTTTGAAAAATAGTACTGTAAGAGGTCAGTGCAGACTCAGAGACATGTAGGCTCCGTGATAACTGCCCCCCTGGTAATGAACGTCCACACTTGTGGTCTATACTTGTGCACCTGTGCATTGTGGGTCTACTGACTAGTGTAATCTGAACTCTGACCGCCTGATAAGTAGTAACATTACCTGATGAAGAAGGATCTCCTCTAATAATATTACTGCTTCAACCCTGCTTAAAGGGGCGGGTTTCCATTGTACACATAAAGGTCAGTTTAGACAGCATGAAAAGTATACACAGCCTGTGAAAACACTTACATATACTCGGAATGTGCTGCTGTAACTGGGGAGCTAACAGCTAAGCAGTGCTTGCAGAAGTAGTAGTAGTAGCAAAAAAACATTTCTGTCAGTATTAGACAAACTGCACAACAGTCTGTTTAATACACATGTTAACGAAAGGAGTAGCTCTTGAAGATTTTTCTGTCAGTTAGGGCCCCGCTTTACTTTTGCTCGGTTGCTAACGACTATTTGATGTTAAGCCAAAAGTCAGGAGCCGGGATATGTCACTTTTTGCTGCTTTGATTTTGAAAAAAAACAGTCTCTCGCAATTCCCACAAATTTATGGGACTGCAAAACTAAAACAAATCACTAGAATACCCCACAAAGTGGTAGAACATGTGTCGAGGTTCAATAGACAACCCTTATTATGCCTTTATCATGAAGCCATCCATTCGATGTAGAATCCCTCCAACGCGCCCTTGTGTAACACAAACTTTGGACAAACCTATAGAGGTGAAGCTTACTACACACACTATATTTATATAAATTTGTCCCTAGGGTTGTGGCACTGAGACAGGTGTACACGCACGTTACATGCACAGTGCAGCATGTGCAATGATCCGTGGTCATAAACTGTACTCCAAGCCTCTGAAATGCCGACCCTTTGTCTCATTCAGATACACTGACACATGTTTGATACAGTTGAATAAACATTCTGCAACTAGAGCATGTTGTGTTCATGTGTTCGGGTCATTCAAAATCCTTTTGAATGAACTCTGACTTGTTTAGTTGGATGTAGCACCTGTATGACTCATTTGTTAATACTGTAAGGACAAAAGCAGTCCCTAAAAAGTCCCTAAACACACTGTTTTCTTTTATAGAATATAGTTTACCAGTGTTTTTACTCTGCAGCCGTCCAACTCTTATCTAAAAAGGTTAAACAATTTTGCACTTAACATAAACCAAACATGTTGCAGAAAAACACCACCTTGGTGGAGCTTAATTTAATGATATTTTAATGATGTTTAGTGAATGTTTTCCTCTTTTGAGGTGCTAGGAGAGGTCTGGTCAAGTCTGGGTTGGACAGAGAACTGACTCGATGAAATGTGATCTGGGTCCTGGTTGGGCGGGACTCTAGTTTGACAGGGTGTAGATGGACCAGCGAGGCTGGTACAATTATAGCACCCCCCTGACCACACTGGCGGTTTCAATTTCAAGGGAGCAGGTCCAAGCACCCACACTCATACAGGTCTGCAACAAGCAAAACATAATATAATATAAAATTCTGCAATCTACATTAACAATATTTACCTTGATTATAACAAAAAAACCTCAGCCATCAGCCAGTGTTTTTAGGCATCGGGCACTATAGATATAGTGCATTCTTTTATTTGAATACTTGCGCAATCTGCATCCCCAGGTTCGTTCTCCACAAACTAGTGTTGAATTTGATGTGCGAGAGAAGCATTATGGTCTCCCATAAAGGTGTTATTTATAGGTTTGCTCTATATCATTGTATGTTGTTGGCAAGCACATCATGCTGCACTTCAAGTCATGTTTTAAGTTTCATAATGAAGCTGCCGACAAGTATCACTAGTTGTGTCAGTGATATTGAAATTATACATTTTCCCCATTTCAGACATGTGTCACATAACATGTTCTCACTTCACAGTTGAGAGTGGGCCACTGGACGCCGCTGAGGCTTGACACTGTGCTATTCTGACACAGGTCAGTCCAGTTGGTGTGGATTCCTCTCCAAGGGTCAAGCTGTAAATTTCTGAAAGTGTGCTGCAAGGCTCCAAACTAAGGCTCACTTCCACTGACAAACATTGCGGCTTGTTTTAAATTCAACATTCAGCGAGTTCTCTTATATTTTCCCATCAAGATTGTGCCATGTGCAACTACTTTGGCAGATGCCAAAGAATTGGAGAGATGCTACCATGAAATATCTGTAAGAAGAAGACATTCTGCGTTAGACAAAGTTGAGATGTTGTTACATGAACCTAAAGAAAATGTTTGTGTGTCCAGAGGTCAGTCCTGAAATGAAAAAGCAATTATTCAGAAGAAGTAGGTTATTGCCTAATTGGGTTGGATGCAACTATGGTATTTATGTAATAACCCAATCATAATGATGACTAAAACATAAATATCATGTGTCATTATTCTATCTTGGTAAGGCTGCTATCCACCACTTGAAATGTTCTCTTAAAATTGATTGGTACTACAAAATAGGAACAAATATCAGTAATATCAGTTCTTGTATGAGCCCAGTGAACGTAAGGAAACAATTATTCCTGTAACCACATGATTCCTCACTACAATGAAAAAGTATTTATAACTCGATTTAAAACTCCAGGTGCCATTAAAAAGCACAATGTACCTGTCATTTGTTATTAGTAATAAGAAAACACCTCAGAGGCCGGAAAAGAGATTTCAGCACCTTGTGAAAACTGACGTCTTTGCTTATATGAGCAGAATGCCCATCATCATGTCACTGCCCTGTTGCATAACTGTTCTACACTGACTTTATTCAATTGCCCCAGAGGATATTCTATCCGCAGCGAGCCGCTCTCTCTAGTGTCACATTTGCAGGTGATAATACTACCATCTAGTGATGAAATATTTGCCAAACATACTGCAAGTCTTACTTACATCTACACCAGAAATGTAATGTGCAAAAACCAGGCATCTCCACTGTGCCTCAGTGGTATGCACAAGACAAAAACGGTGTGGTAAGCCAAGGAGTAGAACATACTGTGTGTGACGGCTGGTGGGCTGAGTTGAAGTATGAGGCGGGTTTGCGTTGGATATTGGATATTTGGGAGGGCGGGGGGAGTGTTCTACGAGCTGATTGCACAGACATGGGTAGGGGTGGTAATGATACTTAGGAATGGAAGAAGCAGGTGTCAGCCGGTCAGCTGCCAAGCAGATCATGGCTGGGACATCCCACAGACACAGTTGGTTACTGGGATGACCACCACCCCCTACCCCCCCCCACACACACACTCCCTTCAATGGAAAAGGGCCTGCGACAACGCTCCTCTGGATCCCTAAATGTATTGTTACCATACCTTAAGTTTTTCATCAGTGGTCTCATCGCCAACTTTCTCTCCACTGTCGATAAATTTGGATTGGATGAGCAACCTTTTACTTTCGGTGCAGGCCAACTAGCGTTGGGGGTGGCCTGTCTGGAGAATTTGGCAGGTATGGATCCCTTTGGACCGAAATCTGGATCAATGAGGAGCCATGCTAGAAAAAAGGGGCGTTTTGTTTACATTTTGATTCAAAACTCCACCAGAGCAATGCGGGAAGCAGCTGCAGAGCAGATGCATTAGAAAAATAGTGTCAGGATTAACACAGTACTAAAGACGGGAGGTAATGAAGATTTTATCAAAGATGACATCATCTTGCATCCTCAACATTCTGTCCTGCAGTTAGTATTACTTCCAGACATTTGATGCCTGGTTATTGCAATATCTATTATTCTTGGAAAGCGTCACGGCTTTTTTAACATAGTTTCCTTTGCAGGTTTGTGGGGGTCACCAAAGCTGAGGGTGAATTCGGCAACAATAGCTGCACAATCTAATTGCCTTTTTAAAATTGTTGATCAGTCTGAAAAAGTTCAATTTAATTTAAATCCCATTTTCCTATTATAAAATCAAATTTCAAGACCATCACTTTTTCTTCACTTTGATTGTACGACAACATGAGGTCCCATCTCAGATACAAAGGAGAACTCATCAGGGCATTAGGAAAAGACAATCAATGAGCTTAAAGCATTAAGCCTCAGAATTGTGTGTTGGTATTGCTGCAGCAAGTAATTAAAGATACTTGCAAGTAAAGGAGATAAGAACGGAAGAATCCCTTTCTTGGAATTTGAAGGATTTTGAGAAGCTCTTTTCGGCACAGTGGCTTACATACTTCTTGGTCATTTCACTCAGTTAGGAAGCTTCCAAAGCAAAACAAAAATAGTTGAGTGCTTCTAGGTGTGAGTGGAGGTCGTCAGGTAGCCCTTCTACGCTGGCAGGCCGTTCAAAATGGCCTGCTCCTCTTTGTCCCCTTTGCTTGATTGGTTTACTTTGTACCCAGCATTCTTCACTCGTTCATGCACTCTTAGCATTTTTAGAAACTACCTCTTTTTAGGTTGAGCCTTTAATGATCCATCCAACAAGCTGCTGCTGTAGAATATAGTGTTTCCATACTTCCCATAGTGCAACACTGACCATTGTGCCCTCAGAGAGCCATAACTGATCATCAGACTTAAGGAGGTATCCATTGACTGTTAATCATTTTGTATTTACATACTCAGCATTCCACCTGACCAGTCTGACTCCCACCTGCTGAATAAAATGTTTTACTCGGCAGTATTTCTTCGCGGCCGCCAGTTGATAAGTAATGAGAACATCAACTCTTTTCGATTTTCACGCCTCACACCAGGACTCTCCATTCGCTTCATCGACCCCGCCAACATCCCCCCTCCTGCTCCCCCAGATACTCCCCCCATCTGGTGCTATGTATGGTCCGAGGGTGGGTGTGGGGGGAGAGGAGGGAAAGGTTGAGGGTTCAGCTGCAGTGGGCCACCCGTCTCTGATAACTGGAATGTAAACGCAGACCCTTCATAAACTGTTCTGACTATCAGTACAGAGCGTTTGGCCAATGAGGGAGCAGCAGGCTCTAAAATGGACAAGCCAATGGCTGCGTGTCAGCTGGGTATATAAACAAGGAGCAAAGACCTCCAAAGTCGGGTGACCTCTATGTTGGCTGTGGTGAACCGGATCTGATCCCAAGGACTGTTACCTCTATTCTTTTCAGCTGTGAAGGTAAAGAAACATCACAGGCATTAGTTTTGTGAAGAAGAAGGTGGGGAGGATATTGGGAAGCGTGTGGGAACTCGAAGAATCTTTAGAACAGAGTAAACAACTCTTTTGGGCCATTAGGGTTTTTTTGTCAAGTAAAGAAAAATGTTTTAGCACAGTGGTAGCTGCCACTACAAGTATCTACGCTCTTCGCAAATGGTTCTTTCCTTTGGAGGCTGATTTATGTGAACATGTGTTTCATCTAAAATTTGTCTAAAATGTGACTTTCCAAAATCAATTTGGTTCATTGTCAAAAAATCTTGGATTTTATGTGACAAGACATTGCGTCATCGTATGTATCATTCTTCTATTAATCATGTGATCAGCCATTAAAGGGAAGGTGAAGCTAATTACTTTACAACAATGTATAGACATTTAAAGACCAGTGGGAGACCAAGCATCAGCAGCTGGTCAGACTGGTCCGGTGTTCGGCAGTGTTTCAGCATGTAGGGTTTAGCGGCGTTGCAATGAAGATGGAGCGTTTTTTCAAAAGGACCAAGTAAAACACATCCAACTAGACTTCTTCATATCTATCTAAGTGTCAACGTGTGAATTAGATAGCAGGGGTTGTGCTTGTGCCAAGATGATTAAAATACTCATTATTTATGCTGGGGACATTTTAAAGAGACAGTATACGGTCAGTTGTGCTGACGCTAAATATAACCAGGAAACGTATCCTATTGCCACAGCTCTATTTCAACTGGACATTCGATCCACTGAGTTTTGAGTGACACTTCTACAGCTGTCTCCCAGGAACTTCCATTACCTCCAAAAGACGTTTTTTTGGGATGAGCAGTACCTGATTAGGACAACTTGTTTCTTGATTTCGGAGGGCTTCAGATTACCTTTGCTTATCCTGTGTCTCCCTCTCTTTGCAGTGTTAGAAAGCAACCATGCCTTTCGGAAACACCCACAACAACTTCAAACTCAACTACAAAGTTGAGGATGAGTTCCCTGACCTGTCCAAACACAACAACCATATGGCTAAGGTCCTCACCAAGGAGCTGTATGGCAAGATTAGGGACAGGCAGACACCCAGTGGCTACACCCTGGATGACGTCATCCAGACTGGTGTCGACAACCCTGGTGAGTCTGGAGAGGCACTTCAATGTTGACGAAATCATCTCAATGCATAACTATATCTATCCAGCTATACCTTTGAATAATTACTAACTACATAAAAGCTCCCATCTTCTCTCCCCTTTTCTAACGGCCGCTTTCCCATTTTCCCTTTGGCTTCAGGTCACCCCTTCATCATGACTGTTGGCTGCGTCGCTGGTGATGAGGAGTCCTACGAGGTCTTCAAGGAGCTGTTGGACCCCGTCATCTCCGACCGTCATGGTGGATACAAGCCCACAGACAAGCACAAGACCGACATGAACTTCGAGAACCTGAAGGTACGGTAATATCAAAGAGCAGGAAACAGTTTGGGTCGTTGTCGGAACAGAAACCAAATACTGATATGGATTTTTTAACTTGAGTTAACTGAAAAATAGAAACTAACCAAATGATAATGCACAATGCTCTACATTTGTATACTTGTGTTGCACTTTGTAATTGGGAATTTGTCATTAGGGTGGTGACGACCTGGATCCCAACTATGTTCTGTCTAGCCGCGTCCGTACTGGCCGCAGCATCAAGGGTTTCACCCTCCCCCCCCACAACAGCCGTGGGGAGCGCAGAGCCATTGAAAAGCTCTCCGTTGAGGGTAAATTATTAATAGTTTGAGTCCATAAGATTGTCACTTTGATGCAGAATCAGAAAAATGTTAAAGCGCAGAAGACAATAGAAAGCTCTCCTAATTGCACATGCATCTCTCCAGCTCTGACCAGCCTGGATGGCGAGTTCAAGGGAAAGTACTACCCCCTAAAGTCCATGACTGACGCCGAGCAGGAGCAGCTGATCAATGATCACTTCCTGTTTGACAAGCCTGTCTCTCCCCTGCTGACCTGCGCAGGCATGGCCCGTGACTGGCCAGATGGCAGAGGCATCATGTGAGTACCGCCCATCACTGTCAACGGGCCACATGTGGAAAAATCTGTCAAAAGCCTCATCATGTGTTGTGGCTGTATGCTGATCATTTTCCATCCATCTTTCTCAAGGCACAACGACAACAAGACCTTCCTGGTCTGGGTGAATGAGGAGGACCACCTGCGTGTCATCTCCATGCAGAAGGGCGGCAACATGAGGGAGGTGTTCAAACGTTTCTGCGTTGGCCTGCAGAAGGTACACAGAAATAAGCAGGGTCAAAAATCAAGATAAAAAAGAAATGTGGATTGTTGCTGGATGCAACTCTGACTCTGCTTTTTTTCTTCACCCAAGATTGAGGAGATCTTCAAGAAGCACAATCATGGCTTCATGTGGAATGAGCATCTTGGCTACATCCTGACCTGCCCCTCCAACCTGGGCACCGGCCTGCGTGGTGGCGTCCACGTCAAGCTGCCCAAGCTGAGCACACACCCCAAGTTCGACGAGATCCTCACCAGGCTGCGTCTGCAGAAGCGTGGAACAGGTACTAATTTATTAAATTAAATTAATTTTATTTTGTATAGCAAAATGTGTGATGTGTAATCCGAAACATGATCTTTCTTGCTTCCTAGGTGGTGTGGACACTGCCTCTGTGGGTGGTGTGTTCGACATCTCCAACGCCGACCGTCTGGGCTCCTCCGAGGTGGAGCAGGTCCAGCTGGTGGTTGACGGTGTTAAGCTCATGGTCGAGCTGGAGAAGAAGCTGGAGAAGGGAGAGGCCATCGACAGCTTGATCCCCGCACAGAAGTAAAGGGGAACAATCTTGTATTCAACTCGTGACCATTCATGTGCAATCAAGCCAGCTGACGCACGTGCAGAGAAAACAGCTGCTCACCAAGAGACTCTTGACTCATTTTTTTTCACGTCCTCCTGTGTTGGTTGGTAACATCCTGGGGTCAGCCTCCACTGAGCCGGGCTCGCCTGGCAGACGTGGCATCAACTTCTTTTTCTTATGAAAAGTAATGATTATTGTAGCTGTCAATAAAAATAGTACCCCACGAAACAACAAAATGGATAATAATGATCCTTTGTGTTGCAGTGAGAAATTAACAATCTTCAACAATCAATACTCACCTTGTCAGATGATCCACATACATTAACATATATTCAGATTGTGTTTTGCAATGACAAGAAAAAAAATGCCAACATCAGTGAATTTTATTAATCTTCAGCTCTGTGTTCTCCTTATAAACCACAACCAGTCAATCTGAGTTTACAGTTTGTTTCTGAGGGGAGGAATCAAACAGTTGAGCAGTGTAAAATTACTCATACAGGTTAAACTGTGTGTGTGTTCTTCAGTCTCTTTTGCATATAACATGCAGCTGTTTCCAAAAATCATTTTGGGAATGACAGTGCATGTTAAATACTGAGCCCCTTGGCGTCCTAACACTATACCATCTACATCCATACCAGTGACACACCGTCTCTGAGCAGGTACAAACATGTTTACTCATCAAGCAGGTCAACAAAATCTTTAAGATTTTTTCACAGTAGATTCAATCTCAAGACAATGTTCATCCACCTTATACTAAGAGTGAGTTGTTTTACACTAAGTTATTTGCTTTTTTTCCCATACCGCCATGGTAATTGCCACCGAAAGACGACGCAAATAACCTGGTTCATGTTTGCCATCGGGAGACAGTGATGTGACATTTTTATGGCTTGAATGCAACCCGGGGCTTTCGATATGTTCAGGACGTACTGTAAATTCAAGTTAAATTAGAACCAAACCACACAATTGTCCCCAAATGTAAGTGTCCTCGCAGGATCTACAAGTGAACATTTCTCTTACACACCGTGTACGTTGTGGTACATTTCATGTCATGTCTGCACACTTGCGAGTGTACTGAAACTATCCGCTAGCAAATAAGTTGCAGTGAAGCACTGTGAAGCACCAAGTCCCCCAAATATGTGCATCATGTTTAATTTTTTCCCCTAAAACCCAAACTCTGAAGTCATGCAGGATTGCAGGTTGGTTTTGTTTCCCCATTGTTTGCTTTCATCTGCTTTAAACTAGAAGTACTTCCCTTGCTCTAGCTATAAATAAACCTTGAGCTCTAAGATATATACTATATTCATATATTTTATATACAGTCACCAACTGACTGATATAAAACCGTTTTTTTCAAATGATATTGTTCTAAAAAATAAATAAGGTACCTGTGCAAATATCCACAAATTGAAGTGTTTCACATTAAGACATTGGCGCCCTCCAGTGGCAAGTTCTTGGTATTATCTGTACAGGTACACTGGAAGGAGCTGATTCAAGTCAAAGAAAAGTGCATTGAGGTCTATATTACCTAATGCTAATATACACCACAATGAGAAACGTCCAGGAAGAGGGCAAGGACAGAATCACGGTGTCCACATTGGTGTTTGCTTCTCGCCCCGAAGAGGAGGACGGGTCGACTCCCGCCTGCCCCCCAGACGGGCTCCGTGAAACAGCACAAACAGGACTGAGAAGATGTCATACACGGTTCTACAATGCAAGAGTGTGGATGACAGTTGAGTGTCGCCCGGCTGGGAGGTTAGAAAAGAGGCGGTTGTACGTGCAAAGGTGGCGTCAAGGTTGGCATCCCTGTTAAATGTAGGGAATTGGGCGGTGTTTATGAAGGGTGGGGAAGGAAATGGGAGTGGGGCATCTTGGGGTCACCATGAGCAAAGCCACAACTGAGAGATAGTATTAACAGTAAATCAGCAGCCAAACAACATGATCTCTGTAGCCTACGTAAATATCACAGTACGTTATTCACTAAAAACAGGGAGGGAGAATAGAAAGCTTTCTCATTTTTTACTGTCTCTCTCTTTTTTTTCTTTTGTTCTTTTTTTTACATTAAATATGTACGGTGTGAAGGCGCCGGGGGTTGTTTCACTTTAAAGGCAACTGGACTAACAAGAAGAAAACACCCTGCACACTGCCTTCATTGGGCCTTTCCGGATTCAGAACACTCCCCCTGTGATCCTCCTGGCCCACAAAGTCATCAATAATGGACAGGCCAGTTCATAGACTGTGCCGAAAAATGGGAGAGGGTGGACATTTAGAGACGGGTCTTTCTCTCTGTGTGCCTTTGAAGGTGAGTGTGTAACTGAGAGGTTTTGCTGCTCAGCCTGATCCGCTTGTGGTGCTTCTCATCAACGTACTGAGATGATAGCAGAAAAAGAGAACTCGAAGAGTTGCATCGCACTGGAAAAGAAACCAGAGAAATGGTATCATTTCGCGGCGGAACGACTGCAAGATTTCACGGGTCTGCAGTGCGAACCGAGCTCGTCGCTCTGGCGCTGGTCTGGAAAACCGAAGTGCTTTGAAAACGTTGTACTGACAGTGACCACCGCCGACAAAACGATGAATCCAGCCAACCAGAGTGCAGCTTGTGTGCTTGTGATCATTGCCGGCCTCTCTGTCCATTCTTTTATAGACGCAGGCATAGAAATGGTGTTTCATGACAGCGATGGGGGGAACGTTAAATAACGTAAATTAATATGAAGTTAAATAATATTTAATTCTGTGGAGAATCTTAAATTGTCCCGCCCCAAAAATCTCAATCAAATTTAAGCTAAAAAATGGACAAATTTTAGTCCGGTGCAGAGAAAAGTAATGTGACTGAGAGGCAACAACTGTAACGGACGACAACGCGGAACATATCCCTAGTCAGACTCTGATTGGCTGTTTCAAAGGCCTGTCGACCACCGCTCCCCCTGACCTTAATCCAGTGCAGATGTCACTGCCGTATGTACACGGATCAGAGCCACACAACCCTCTGGCTGCCTGTCTGATCATTGAGTTGGAACATAATCAACGTTTCAATGTTATTGTCCCCAGGTGACAAAAGGTCTGCAGATAATCATCGGTAAGGAGGAATGGGGGGTTAGGGACTGGCATGTTCCGTGCACAATGGAGTATGTTTTTCTGTAGTGGTGAAAGTGACTGTGGGTCAAAGGAAAGATCACAGCAATAAATAACAAATTAGAGTCATTATGGCTAGATTAGCAATAAAAAATATTCAAATAGACTGCGTCTGATCAAGGTCCATTGGGTGCAGTTACTCAAAAATGTGTCTGAGCGGGGTCGGGTGAAGAGGTGCCTCAGTCTGTGTGACTTTACTGGCCAGGTGTGTGCGTATCTGTGTGACTGTGAGTGTGTGTGTTCTTGCAGGTGAGCGGTGGGGTTGTGTGGGGGGGGGAGGAAGAGGGGGGGGTGTAATGTTGAAAGAGGCAGAAGGAGTAGTCTTTTCTTTCGGGTCCAGCCCCTCGCCCCTTCACTGCCATTGTTTTTTTCAACTATTTTCACCCCCACCTCTCTTTGCACGCACACATCCAACACTCGCTCACACACCAGCAAGCGCTCGAACAACACGTCTCTCCGATCAAAGTTCAAGGTCCTTGGAGATTTGGGTGGCAATGTCACGAAAAGCTAGCGGCGTCCCCCAGAGTCGCGTGTAGCGCACCCCGTTAGAAGTCTCCGAGGTGCCCGTGGAAAGGTGACACACCTCGGCCTCGAAAGCCACGCGGCCCCTTGCCACGCCGTGGGTGCAGGAAAGCAGAAATGGGCCGGCGTGGTGGACCAGGCAGCCACATCCGAGCGCCGCCTCCCGCAAGGCCAGAACCACCTCCACAGGGTCCCGCCTCACACCACCTCTCAGATCCCTGCCACGTCCGACGGTCCGGGGCTCGGACGCTTTTTGATACCAAGGTACATGGCAACTAGGGTGGTGGGGTTGGTGGGGGAGGGAGCGGGAAATATATGTTTAGGCACTGAACCGGGGTGGCTTTCAACTAGAAGAAAACATCTATTACTAAAGTGCTGTCCTGCAGCTGGAACAAGAGCACTGACCTTGAGACCGCAAATCTCCTGATTCCCTCAGATTCATTTGGGATCCTGTGGGACAAGAGGGGAGAGTCAGAGCTCGGGCTACACACTGCTCTCAGATTAGATGGCGGTCAGTAGTGCCCCAAGTATGTGTGTGTCTTCACCTTGCCCGAATGCACATTTCCGTGTTTAAAAGCATGCAGATATAAATGCAGTAATTTGACTCTTTGTCACCTCTGTTCATGGTACTGCGCATTCCCATCCATTCTCATAAACAACACATGGAGTAGCATGTAATGACTTTCAACCTGTCAACCACACATACTATTTGAAAAAAAAAAAAATCTAAAATGTACAATGACAACCAGAACTTGTAAAAGCCAGCCTGTACTGACAATGACACTGATGTGTATGGGCCCATGCAAGTACGAAAATGATTAATAATCATGCAGACAAGCAGAATTCATTGATACAGGTATGAAGAAGTCAGGCAGACGGGTGGGTTAGCACAGGCAGACGAGAAAGAAGCCCGAGACATTGGAACTTACTAACTGTTTTTGATCCTTGTGGAAGAGTACAACCCGAGACAGATTTGTTTGAGCCCTGGCGCTTGGACGGGTCAAGGTTGACCCTGATGCCATAAAAGTGGTGGTAAAGCACAACGAGATAAAGATGGAGAAAAGGGGGAAGAGCAGGGGGTGGGGGTGGGGGAATGAGAGAGAATATATTTGAATCACAGAAGAGCAAATGGTGGAAAAAGAGCGCAGCGATCGAGCCGATTGGCGAGGATAAAGCTGAGGTTTGATAAGATTAGACATGTGTGATTATGACGACAGGGGGAGAGAGAGGGGAGGGGAGGATAATCCAGGGCCACGGAAGGGGTTGCCAAAAGGCCGGAGTGAATACAATGTTCTCATAAGCATGGATCCTTATACCCTTGGATTCAGGCTGTATTCTGAAAGATTGAACTGTAACAATGCTATTCTATTTCAAATCTATTTTGAATTTATTCTAGTTTCTCACCAAATGCCACATGTCAAAAGATACTATTTCACATCGGTTCCGTTATTCTTTATGAATGGGGCTTTAAAGCTAAATCGTGAGACAATGCAACCGCCATACGTTAGCTCAAAGCTCTATCATCAAGTTTGACTCTCCAATATGATATATGCCAAATGTTAGGCTACATTGGTTGCATTTCCAATACTGGTGTCTGAACCTCTCTGATTAATCATTGCCTTTCTCATAAGACTATACATCAACATTTGGTAACCAGTAATATGCTACGTGGAGTGGAGGGAGCCCTAATCTGATGACACAGAGTTCCCCCCCTAACAGAGTAGCTTGATAACACTCATGTTTGCACTGTAAATATGAAGGTAGAGCGACTATGAGCTTAGAGTACCTGCGAGTAAGTTTGGAGGTCAGCTTGCTGAAGAGGTTGGAGGTTGCCCTGGTGCGGGCGTGGGGCAGGGGGCTGGTGTCATGGTGGGACAAGGTGGGTGAGGTGGGTGGGGCTGAGTAGACCGGGGGCCCACGATCTCTCAGCTGTCCCCCGTGAAAGGTGCTGCGGATGGTGGAGCCTCGGGTCAGGCGGCATCGGTCTGAGGACGAGGATGCGGCAGCAGCTCCTGTGCCAGAAATGCTAAGCGTGGAGGGAGACGCTTGGGGCATGCGATGCCCCAGGGAGCTGCAGAGCGGAACAAGAAATGGTTCAGTCTTACACTAACCCACGCATTGTTTCTAACATTTGGTTTCATAAAATTAAGTTTCTTTGTTGAATGGTGTAAGTATTACCATAGGGAGCTTATATACAAACAGCATTCAGATTTTTCATGGATTTCTTTTGGACTTTCTATTTTGGTATGCCTCTGTAGACCATTGTCTTTGCACTATGTTGGCATCAGCGGTGTGATAAGGCTATTTGGAGATTTGTCAGACTTTTCAAGATGTGAGTTATTGTACTGACCAATATTCCAACCTCCCACACACAAGCGCTACCTGTTGTCTTTGCCGTTCTGCAGAAGAGAGTGTCTGTCAGCGCCTGAGCGGTCAGTGCAGACATATGTATTCCTGCGTGTCATGGCGCTTCCAGGGATGTTATTCTGCAGGGAGTAGAAAAAGGTAAGAGGCACAATATTAAGCCACTTTGATTTCCAGTGGAAACAATTTCAGTGTGGCACCAGCACTAAGCTACAATTTTCAATGCAGGAGAAGATGGAAGACAAGAAATCAAACAAAAACAAACACAAGTAGACCAGACAGAAAAAGACAAAACAGAAAAAAGAATAATAACAACAACCACAGCATATAATATCACATTCGTACAGCACCAGTCCGACATAGGTACATTTCGATTTTTCATCAGGTTGAGTCAGTATCCAGTGTTTTTAAAGTTGGCAGGGTAGTCCAGTCTGAAGGGGCCAGGGTAAGACTGGTTTCCATATCTTGATGAATCCTTAGACATTTGTCATGAAGGGTGTGGGTCAACTTTTCCAATGGAAAAACTTTCCAAATCCCTCGATGCCAATTGTCCGTGGAAGGAGTATATTTAGAAATCCAGATTCTAAAGCCTAGTTTATGGTAATGCGCTTTTTTCCTCTTTTTGCGTGCGTCGACCAATTTTTCTCTCTCAACATTTACGGTTTCATACCATAATACCACCATTTTTAAAAGGAAGATTTTTGAAGAGAGAATGAATCAGATTGAAGAGCTTTTGTCGGAAGAAATACGGAAATATGACCACTTATACAACCCGTCATTGACTATAAGGACGCGCGGACGGCCTCCAATTCATGGAGGGAGATCTTCACAAACGTTGGTTTGCCAGTTGAGGGGTGTACAAAATTGTGGAGGAAAATACGGGACAAAAAGGCAATGAAAAGCAGCAGTGGCGATGCAGGGGGCAAAAGGTGTATGTGGAGAACAAGACCGGGAAAATAAACAAACCGGCAAACAACTTCCACACACAAAGACGTCATTCGCTAAAAAACGTTACTCCACCTAATGTTCTGGCGGTGAATTGCTTTGCAACACGCGCAGCCCTTTTAGAACCATGAACTAAAAACGAGTCCATCGACACAACTGCGCGAAAAGCCGCAGCTGCAGTTGCAGAACCATGCCAGAGCCTTTAGAATAGTCCTTTGTGCTATATACAACAGTATTGCAATCAGTTTAGCGTTGTTTCTACTCTTTGCACTGCTCACTTCGGCTGCCAGAATACACGAGAGGGTGAAACTCCAAGTCACATTCATTCAGGGAAAACACATCTTCCTTTACTTTTCTCCAAAATGTTTGTATATTTGCACACTTCTATACTACGTCTATACAAGTGCCAGCTTCAGAATTACAAGCCTCCCCCCAGCAGTTGTGTACAATGCAGTTTTTTAAAATTGTCTTTCTCTGCCCGTGCTACAGCTCAGAATCTTAACTGTGTTTTCCATAATGAGGATAAGGAATCAGGAATCAGGAAACATTTATTGCCATAATATGTCAGACATACAAGGAATTTGACTTGGTGGTTGGTGCCTAACAGTAGACAGTATAACAAATATATTCAAATCTCCCTTAATGAACATTATGATTGGTTTAAGATTGAGTTTGAACAGCTTTTAAGGAAGGGGACAATTCAAATGCCAGTAAAGAAGCCGCTAGGTGGCGTATAGCCTGCCAGAGCGTCAATAGGCATGGCCTCGGTTTTTGATAGACTGACTTTAACTCCCGATATGTGCCCAAACTGATGCAAACAGCCAAGTAGACAAGGGATGGTGGTGTCTATCTCAACCAGGTACAGCAGGACATCGTCTGCACAGAGAGACACTTTTTGTAGAGTACCATTGTTGATAAAGCCTCTTATCGTCGGTGTGGCTCTGATGAGCTTAGCAAAGGGCCCAATAGCCAATGCAAACAAAGGAGGGCTTAATGGGCATCGCTGGCGAGTGCCACACTCTAATGGGAACGGATCTGAGCAGAAATACGGCAGTTTTACCCAGTCAAGGAATCCTGTACGCATTTTAAATGTTTCCATAGAAAAGGAAGGGTCATTCAACCCTGTTGAAAGCTTTTAATGAGTCCAGGGACACTGCCAGGCCTTGTACATTATTATCCTTGGAAAACTGTATTATGTTTGAAAGCCTCCTGATATTACTGGAGGAATTCCTCCCTTTGATAAAGCCTGTTTGATCAGGATGTACTAATATTGATATTGGTGATTCAAGCCTCAGAGTCAATACCTTGGTTAAAATCTTTGCATCTACATTAATAAAGCAATAAGGTACGAGAGGCTGTACTTTAGCGTCCAATAATGTAACAGTTCGGGGGCGTTGCTGTTGCCGGCGACACTCGAACAGTTACAACTGTACATTGTCGCTCAATAATACACCAACGCTGGATTTCATCTACCTGTATAATGATGAGCGATATGAGCCTGTAAGACTGTCTTCAGGGTCATTGTTTTTTGTTCAAGATCAGGCTAAGGTTGGATAGCAACATTGTTGTAGGTAGATGGTGAATTGTGTTAAAGCTGTAATTACCAGTTCTGACTGGGTGAGAGGTCAGCTTGTTTTTTAAGGTTTTTCTACTCTGGGCCTGGTGATTTTCCACTGTGGATCAAAGCCTCTGCTTCTAACATATCCTTTTCCTGAATGGGTTTCCCCAAATATTTTTGCTGTTCTTCTGTTAATGTGGATGATTTAATTTTAGAAAACAATAGTCACGTTCCTCTTTAGTGCTGTTATTATTGGTTGTGTATAATCATTTCTAGAATGATACAAAAACATAGGTAATGTCTTTCTTATCAAAGCTGTGATTTTCTATGTCAAAGCATGTTTTCTACTTCCATGTATACACCTCTTGTCAATCTAATAGTTATGCTGCTCCAAAAAACTGTTCATGAAAGGAATAGTAAATAGAACTGGAGGGAAACGTTTCAGGTGCAAATAAAGCAAAGACACAAAACTCGGAGCTCTCACAGCACTTAGCAATTACTTTAGAGACGCTCTCTAATTTCTACTGGGCAGTTTTCTGTCTTCGGCGCCGTCTTTGTACATACATATGAAAACATTGTATCATGAGGTAAAAATGTCCCATGAGTTGAGCTGTATCTCACACAACTAATCTGCTGAAAACCTCACATAATCATATACGTTTCTGTTTACATTTTGGCGTACTACTGTTGCTTTTGCTATACTATACTGACAATAACCACAAAGATTCTTTCCGTACAAAAAGTGTTAATGTAATGATTGTCGGTGTAAACCTGAAATTAGAGCACTGCCTTTTTTAATGATTTCTATAATACATGTTTCTTCTCTGAGCTTAAGAAAGACATCTGTCACTTACCGTGGTGGCGGTCATGTCTTTACGACGGTCTGGGATTTCAGACTTGTTGGGGTTGTTGGCACTGCTGACCATTGGGCTGGAGGGAGGAAGGCTGTGGCTCCCCATTACACTGCAACTGGCTTTACGTGACGGCATTCGTCCCTCCCGCAGCTCACGCTCGCCTGTGCTAGTGGGGCTCCGTTTGGGGTGCATGACGGGCATGGAGGGGCCGCCTTTGTTGTGGAGAACAGCAGAGCACAGACACACAGAGACTGGTGTAAGGAATATTCTGCATGTACAGTCTACTGCGTTATAGCAAAAGCCTTGGAATATAAAATAATTCTCTGAGACACACCTGGATGCATTCCTGATTAAACCATTGGAATATAAAAAGGAACCGCTTGGTGGGTGATGAAACTTTTTGAATAGAGGGCTGTGCAGCACCCGTTGGGTAGGCTCTGATTAGAGGTCTTATGGCTCTGAAAAGAGCCTCCAGAGATTCTGGGTGGAACTATCATGCCATGGAAGGATTCTTTGAAGAGCCTCAGGGGCTTCTGAGTAGAAACCCACAACAGTGTTTCAGGGGGAACTGATATAAAAAGAAGCTAGAGAAGTTAGAAAAGAGACTCACAGAAGTCGCTGTGCCGCCGCTGCCTGTGGTAGGTGGAGGCACTGCGCTGGGTCTTGCTATGTGAGGAGGAGGTGGAGGACGAAGAGGAGCCAGTTGCTGAGGAGTGCTTGTTGGTCCCATTGGTGATGGGGCTGGGTCGAACCCTTGCCAGGGACAGGCTACTAGCTGTCCGAGCCTCACTGGCCTCCTATAACGGTACAACCCAGATATTTCATTTTTCCCCACTGATGCTTTATGAATATTTTTGGGATTTTATAACATTAATTATATTCATGTTCTTTCAAGCAGCTAACACAGTAGAGCAAAGCTGACAATATTGAAAAAATTCTGATATTGTGATTTAAGAAAAGTGTTTTGTGTGCTGTCTAAAATTTGAAAATAATAATAATAATAGAAAAGCACTATATGATAGTTATGTATATCTATAAAACTCACATCGCCTTTGCGTCCGAGTAGTAAGTAGGTAGCGGTGACTTCATTGTATTTCTGATTGAGCAGAGAGTCCTTGATTTCTCCGGATGTGAAGCCCATCCCCACCATCACCTCTGAGGAACACAAACCACCATATATGAAAGGCAGGAGAAGAAACTGTGATAGAAAACGTCTTCCATCTCAAACTACAATGACCAGGTTTGTTATGGTCTTTTAGCTGACTCACCTATGCGAGCCGGATCGCTGAAGTCTTCAATGGGTTCTATGTGGGGCTTCAGGTCATCCTCTTCGTACCCTGAATTTATCCACTTGTCCTTCATGACTTGCTGTAGAAACACAGACACAGAAAAGCTTCAGTTGCGTTTGAATTTCCAATTTAAGTTACTCTTCATGTGCTTGAGGCTACTCACGTCTAGGGTGCAGCGTTTGGTGGGGTTGAGGACCAGGAATCGGCGAAGGATTCCCTCACAGTCTGTGGACATGTAAAAGGGCACGCGGTATTTCCCCCTCAGCACGCGCTCCCTCAGCTCCTGTTTACCAGATTCATCAGATGTTAGACGTACAGTTCTTCTGGTTCCAACTCTGTAACCAGGCGGCCACCTTCACTTCTGAAGCCAACTCGGAATTCAGTGAGGGACACTGATTTTTATTGCAACAAAATGGAAATACAGTTAAACTGGACTCTCAAAATTCCCCCTGGATTAGCCACAAAGTCACCAAACCGAAACAGGGCGCACCATGCATAATAACCCCCCCTCCACTCCACCGGGTATCCAGGTGTTTAAGTAAACATTAAATACCATTTCAACCATTTGCCTTGCAAAACCAATTCAGAACTAAAATAGGGTGAAGTCTGGGGTGGAGGAGGCAAAGCGTTGCCAGCGGCCTGGTCCGTAACACCATTGCTGGATCAGTGAGGAAGGAGTCATATTTAAATCCAAATTAACCTGTATTTCTATTTTGTTGCAATAACGGAGAAAGTCTTATTGTATAAAAGTCTTTGAGAAAAGAAATCTACTCACTTGGAAAACATGAGATTTTGATCTTAATCGCTTATTTCAAGTGTCCTTCAATATGATGTTCATTTGGTAAATGATGGTCCATTTAGAATCAAATACACCATAAAGCAAGAATGCTTTAAGGCGGGCTTATTGTGATTGACAGGTAACTGATGCTGCCAGAGCCGTATTTGGCATCTCTGCACCAGTCCTCCACATTCCATATTAGGTAACTTCCAGTCATAGGTTGCGCAAAAAACAACACGACGACAGACACAACAAGATGATGGCAAAATCATGTGTTTAAAACAGCAGTTCCCGATCCCTTGGTGACGTAACAAAGACTAAGTCCACTTATTTGATCTCGTCTCAGAACCTTATTACACAAATATTGTATGGAGAGGCTGCTTTTGCATTGCGCATTATGACCGTGACAGCACCATGCACACGTTTTTTGTACTGAAACGAGGAGATTCCAACTCACAACCACCACTTTGGTTTGTATGGAAGTTTTAAATGAAAACACACCTAAGGGAATATATCTGATAAGAACAGTCGCATGTGTTTGTTGCATTAAATTCCCAGGGTCCCTTACTGCAGGCAGAGTGCTGGGGCACAGTCAAATATGAAACGGGTTAAATACACATTTGTCTCTGTCCTCTGGTGGAGCTCTAGGGGGCCACTCATTGCCATCTGCTTGGTGTTAAAAAATAACACTATTTTGTTGTTGTTGTTTTTTTAAGCAGCAGGTTACACAATGACGTTACAGCAGATGAAGACGGAATTTATTTTTGCACTACTATTCACAAGGTGTGAGAATACGATGAGGTTTAATGGTCAATATTAATATCTATGGAATGTATGTATGGAAAACAGATAAATAGAAATATTATTCTAAACAAAAAATAATCATCTCATCTATTTTTTTTAACATGGTCTATTTACTGTATCTTTAACCTTTCCTAACTTGTATGTATTTTTAAGGTTGCCACCACGGTTCACCATGAATTCTGGTGAAACTAAATCTTTGTGATAACTAGACAGCAAGAAGGAAAACTACGAAATGGTCTCGGCCCACATTTCAAACCAAGAAGCCATGTCTACGCTTTCCCCAGTGAGCGACTATGTTTGATCCAACTTTATCTAACCACCTCAAAGTGCAGAAAAACCTAAGCAGACTATGTAAAGGTTGTTTTATCTGACTGCCAGAAATGCCTTTAACTACTGCAGCCCCCTACATTAGAAAATGTTATGCTGATAGGTCCAGTAGTATGTGAGCCTTTATCGACCAAGGAAGTTCTTCATTTAATTTAATGTTTTAAATGTAAGAATCACACAAAAGCCTCCCTTTTTTAAGTGCTTGTCTCTGGTGATTACCAGAGACGCGCTTGTAATTTCTGTGGAAATAAATCAATCAGAAAGAAAAGAGCATGAAATGCAACTATTGGTCTAAAGTAATTTTTTGTCAACTATTAGACCAAAAGGACCAATCAAAGACCAAGAAGGAACACCACATTTACCTTCAAGTTCTGCCCATCAAAGGGCAGCGAGCCGCTAACCAACGTGTAGAGGATGACGCCGAGACTCCAGACGTCCACCTCGGGCCCGTCATACTTTTTGCCCTGGAAAAGCTCGGGGGCGGCGTACGGCGGCGAGCCGCAGAACGTGTCCAGCTTGTTACCCAGCGTGAACTCGTTGCTGAAGCCGAAGTCGGCGATTTTGATGTTGGCGTCTGCATCCAGCAGAAGGTTCTCCGCCTGAGTTGCACATGTAATGAAGTAGAAGAGGAGGAGGAAGCATGGATGGACAGCAGGAGGGAGAGAATTCAGGGAAGTAACAGAGATTACAAGTTTAGGGGACAGTGGGAGGGAGAAAATAGTGGGATGGGGGAGGAGAAAGAGGAATGTGAAAGAAGGAGGAGATAACAACTCCAGGAGTAGTAATCAAGAAAAAAAAAAAAGAAGAAGACAATTGAGAGACTGATGTTGAGGGTTGTCCAACAACATGGCTATTGTACATGACTCACACTGTTTATACGTCACAGTGTATGTTTAGGACTGCAATAATCTATTAGAGAAGGCCCTGACAGCCTCCTACCCTCCACTCACCAGCGCCTCACCGTGCGCTTCAAAGGGCCCTTTTCACAGACACACATTAAGATTAGCCCCAGATTATCACTTTCGGTTCAGATGAATCTGTCAGTGGAATAAACGCCCCAGCCTTGGGCTCCACCAGCTCTCTGAAAAGCAGCCCCCGAAAAAGGATTTAGAGCCTCTCACCTTCAAATCTCTGTGGACAATCTTCTTTGTGTGGCAGTAGTGGACGGCGGAGACAATCTGTGAACATAAGGAGACGGACGAGGCTGAAGGGTTGCCGACGAAATGAGTATCGGTACACTGTGGGCGCCCGAGCGGCAATGTAAACATACCTGTCGAAATTTGGCTCTGGCTTCAACCTCCTTCATTCTCCCATGAGACACGAGGTAGTCAAACACTTCACCTGTGAGCAGCAGAGACAGATCAGCTCATGAAGCCAGAAGCACTATGGCTATTTGATTACATTTTGTCGATGTACACAATCAATTCAGTTAATTATATTCATAAATGTGAAGTTAAAGTTAGCAAAGTTAAGGTGCGATCCTACTACGCTGATTTGAATGGAAAATCCCACTACTATTGAATGGAGTATAATTTAACATTTCCCATCATAAACAAAAATGATCACCACGTGATCATTAATTAATTGCAACCACATTGCAATTAATTCCCACCCCTCAATGAAATTGCCCTATAAAAATAAAAAACTACATTCTACATCCCCACACCTTTTCTGACCCTCCAGCCATCTACAATCAATAACTCTGTAACTACTTTGTATATTTGAAGAATTTCTTTTCTGTAGGAGGGTTAGGCTAACTCTAACCCTATGATGTGCAGAATCTGTTTATGGTAGTTGCTGGTGAAGAAATATAGCAATATTTCACACAAAAAAACGTTGAATTTGGTAAATCGCCTCAAATAATATCACAAACACCTTATAAATCCTATAAACATGGAGATATTAGGCTAAAACCACATCTCATGATAGCCCAGTATGTGGACAGGATATATCTTGAGTTTCACGTTGACAGAGTGGGGATAAACTACTCTAGAGCAGGCTTTTGTGAAGGCCTCCCGGCCCAGAAACAGGAGAGTCAAAATCTTGTGTAATTTTGTCTATCTCGGTTTCCGAACCAGATTTGCTCCATTTAACCACTTTTCTGAATCATCTGATCCCATTGGATCCGACTAAACCCACCCAGAAATCATCAACAGCTTCCTTAGCCAGTCAAAGGCCAAAATTGGTAGATCGTAAAATGATGGTCAAGAGTGAGGATTGCCGGTAAAATTTGACCCCGGACCACTCTAACGTCATTCCAAAGCAAAGAAGTTTGCGGGTGGCCGTATTGCACTACAGAAACAGCAGAATATTTTCACAGTTTCCTTCAAAACGACCAAAGAAGGACATTTATGATTCATAAACGTTGGCTTGGTGGTTTTTGTACTTTTAATAAGGTCTGTCTGAGAGAAATGTTAAAGATAACACAGGATTCAGCGCGATCTCTGCTTTGTATTTGTCGTATCGTTTTTCATGATAGCATTTAGCTTCGAAGGATTGTTCAACTTTTACACAGCCGAGTGCACAATTTCTGGACTCATTTGCATAGGATATTTTCTTGTTAACTTAACTTGTTAAACTTTGTTCGGGTACACAACAGTCTGGTTCTGGGTCCCACCATACGGGGGATACTAGTCACAAGTAGATTTGGAATTGGAATTGGAACTACACTACGAGATTCTCCAAGGTCACAGTGAGCAAACAATGCGGTTTGGGCCAAAAGAGAAAAATGGGATTGGTGACAAGCAACTTACACAAATAGAACCATATAGGAGACGAATGGAAGCGAAAGGAAAAAAGAGCAGCATTTGAAGCGATGCAGTGCCATCATCACGGAAGCTGTGTCTGAAGCAAGTTCATCACTGCATGGAGGCTGCTCAGTTATCTATGTTTTGGTTCCACAATATATTAACATATGATAGAACCACACAAAACCTATTGTGTGCCAGTCCGCAGTCGTGTAGTGGGGACTACATGGTCCGATCTCAGAGTGCTGGAGCATTATATGTTTGGATGAGTACAGAGTCTAATCTGGTGAATGCATATAGCGCAAAATGTAATTGAACATTTCATTTTCGTTTAGGACAGTGGGAGAAGACACTAAACAACAAGTCCAGGGACAAGAGAGAGCTCTCTTGACCTCTGTGGAAAACGTCACTGGGTCAAGGAAAGATGGTTAGGAGAATTCATGAGAAGTTAGGAAAAGACAGCCGCGGACTTTAGGGAATAGTGGCACTGAATTATCTCTTTTCCTTTGGTATTGGATGGTGCAGTAGTTTTCTATGCTAACGGAGCTAAATAGGGAAGCATTGAAGCTCCTTTGCTTAGCATTAAAGAATTCGAACACTTACACTACTTACAGGTCAGTTCACTCAGTTAGGAACCTTCCTAAGCAAATTTGACAGTTTGAATCCAGCCTCACACAGGGCAGAAAGTGAAGTTAACCCAGGGACACGAGAGGCAGAAAAATACAAAATAAGACAGGAAACAAATCCACACCGTGACACCCCCTCTCAAGGGACAGATCCCAGATGGACCCCAAGACACACAGGGGCGGGTGTGCAGCCGGGCAAGGCAGAGGGATCACAGGAACAGACTGATTGGTGGAAAGGAGAGGACAATCCAGGGGACGGCCTGGAGAGCAAACAGACGACCGGTGAATTGTCTGGAGTCGGAGGGGCCAAAATCGGGGGTCCCAGAATCGGCCGATCCAGGGTCAGGTGTCGGATGGTCGAAATTGGCGGATACTCAGGCTTAGGGGGGCCGGAATCTAAAGTGTCTGTATCTGGAGTCAGCGGATCCGGGGTGAGGCGTGGAGGCCGGTATCGGGATTCGAGGGTCAGGCGTCAGGGGTTTGGAGTCGAGGGGCCGGGATCAGGAGTTCGGGGGCCAGAATTGGCGGTTCAGTGGGAAAGGGGTTTGCTGCTTGCCCTCTCTGCTATGTCTAAGGAGGAGGCAGCCTCTGAGCTTGAGGAAAGCCTGTAGCTTCTCGGCCAAAAGACAAAGTTGGTCTTCCTCTGCCAAAACGTCACGTCTAGCATGGCCAATCATTACTCCGGAAATGGGTCTGCTGAGTCCATGGTGTTGGCAAACGGGGACCAGGAATACCATACAAACAAAAGACTACCCAACATGGACTAAAGAACCAACAAGGAGACAAGGGACACACCTGGTTTAAATACACCGGGGAGGTGATTGGACACAGCAGGAAACAACCAGGGACGTACACTCACAAGGGAAAACACACCAGGGCAGGAAGTGAAGTTAATCCAGCAACACGAGGGGCAGGAAAATATAAAACAGGAAACAAGCCCACAATGTGACAAAATATTAAACACCACTGAAACAGAATGTCACATTTTAGTTTCAACAGTGTTTCACCTCATTAACAGTAAGAACGCTATTCATATGAAATGTATCTGAGGTATTGTTCTTGCAAATTCCCTGTTGGCAGGATAGATGGGCTGCAGTTCCACCGAACCTGTGACCTTCTGCATCATTTAGACACATAGTATTACCCAGACGTGACGGCCGATGTACCCACCTCCACTGGCGTATTCCATGATTAGGTAAAGCGTCTTATCAGTCTCGATCACCTCGAACAGCTGCACTGTGGCCCAAAAAAGAATTTGATTAAAATCAAATATCAACAAACGCTCCCATCATAAATAACAGCGCATCCATCTGCCTGTCTATGTTATTTGCAAATGACATATTGTGTTTTTTTTAATCTATATGGCTTTTCAGCTTTGCGCAATCCAACCTGATGAACTTTATATGAGGTATGAGATGATGTTTGGTATCGTTTAAACGACACCCTGAAGTTCACTCAAAGCATTACACTTCTGTCTGTGCACCTACACACACAAAAGCAAAAACACACACGCAGGGATGCAGCAGCACTCAAACACACAAACAGATTGAGATGCATGTATGTACCTTACCTATGTTAGGGTGATTTAAGCCTTTCATTATTCGTACTTCCCGAAAGAGCTGGGGAGAAGAAAAACATCATTTTAGTGCCCTGTTGTTAAACATAGACTGTTTGTTGCTCAACTCCTGTCTTTCACATTGCTTTGAATCTGGGCTTTAGAGTTTAGGAACTTGGGGCAAGAAATTATTTGAGATTGTAGAGATTGATTGTTTTTTTTGAATCTCTCTCATCTTCATTGTACTGAAAATGAGATATTGAGCATCACCAGAATATTACCGGATGGACAGACTGGACGCCCAGGTGAATAGTTAAAATTTTACTAAAAAATATACTTTTAATTAAATCAAGACAACAAGCTTTCGGGAATCTTATAGGACCGCTACCATGCGTTTATGAAATCAGTTCAATAAAGCATTTATGGGTCTGAATGAAGGCATGCAAAGTCTAATAAACCTTGAGTCTCGAGTTCGGTCTGAAGAAGGTTTGAACTAAATCTCTGATACAAGCTACAGGCTCCAGGCTACATAAATTACTGCTAGCACAACCATGCCTGGATCTCCTTCTAAACCCTCGGCATGTGAGTTGCATTCTGGGTGATGTTGGAGGTTTTAACAAGAACAGATGGTTACCTACATTTTATCTGTATTGTTTCTGATTATTTTTTTAACGGTCCATTATGGGTCTGACAGCATCGTAGGGATGATCGGCAAAGAGGCAAGCAACTATTTTAATACACCGCTTCATGGATTGAATGTCCGTTAGAATAAAATGGTCCCTGTGTTGTGGTTGTTGGTCATATAGTCTTAGACATGGATGTGCGACCAATTCAGCTGCTGAAATCCCGTAAAAAGACCAGAGGGCACCGGGACAAGCACACACATTTATACTTTTTGTCCTAAAAAACACCTTCCCTTTCCATCTCCAATATGCATCCAATTGAGAATGTAAGGGGGTGGCCAAACCTTTTTGAAAGTTAAAAACAACAACAAATGGCCCACACGCAAATGGGATGAATCTGCTGCCAAAAACTGCCAAAACTCTCCATCCGATCACTCTCTGGAGTGTGAAATGTCTCCTCCGGTGGACAGATTTGTACACTTTGTCAGAGCATAGCAGGGGATCCCATTTGAGCCAGCGCCCAAGGTTTCACGTTTACAACAGTACACTCCCTAAACAAAAAGACCATCTCTGAAAACCAGACTCTCCTCAACAGGGCTAAATAAATTAAAAATAGAAAAATAGAAAAAAGATTTTCTATCCCCTTTTCTCAAACCTCCCCCTATTCCTGTTTCCCCTCCATCCCTCCTCCTTCATTCAATTCCTCTCTGGCAGCCTTCTCCTCAAGCGGTGCCCCGAACGTCACTGTTGCCATAGCGACCTAGGTATTAAGACCGGGCTCTTTCCCAGCTGTGTTCAGAAGGAATCTTGAGATACGTAGTGCTGAACCATCTCATCATCCAGGCGGCCCATTAATCCCCTCTCCCTCCAACGTGCTCATCACGGCAGGCGCTGAGCTGCCAGATCCGTCAAAACAATACACAATCCCCTGGCAACATGTTCGACCCCGGTCATCGCTAATGACCGCAAATAAATTGCAATCACACGATAAAGCTGACAGGGAGGGGCACACAGGCTTTGTGGCAGTAAAGGCTGCTGGCTTATATCAAGAATAGAACAGATGGAAACAAATTGTATTTAAATCTATTGTATATATAGATATATAAAATGGCTAACTGTTTCATGATCTGTGTACTCCAACATTAGAAATGTCAGTCTATAAATCTCTTGCTATATCCTGCAATTTCCTCTTAACGGATGTTACGATTTTGACTTTTTCTTTCTTCCTCCTTCTCTTTTACCCTGCCCTATACAATACATTTCCTCTTTCCCTCCTGTCTCTACATACATTACCATCCGGATTATGCTAATGTGGGTTCTTTCATGTCTTCAGTGCTGAGGATGTTCTCTAGCCCACGGGTATGTATAGAAGCGCCGCTATCATCAACGACAAATAGTGAGAGCAATCGCTCCAATCAGCAGTCCCCTCTCAGGCGGTCGCCTCTCTCCTCTCAATTGTCTCTAGCGACAGCCGGTTCCCGGTCCAAAAAAAGAAGCACCGGGCAGGATAACATACAAATTGGGATTACAGTTGCTGCAGAGGATCAAATATTCTAGGCAGGTATGGTACATGATATAAGCACAAGAAATATGATGAGTCAAAGAGTCAGGCTTACAGGAAGCCAGCAAGCAAAGGGCAAATGGGAAAAAATTACTTAAATACACAAGGACCTTGCTCATACTGTCACAACCCAAGATTAAGGCTAGCACCAATTGCGTTAAAGATTATTGACCAAAAAACAGAAGTCAAATGATTATACTAATAATATCAAGGAGATAAGAGACGGACACACTTGTGGCTAAAAGAGGGAGGCCCTGTAAGCTGCATAATGACAAATAAGGTTTGATTGATCGTTTTTTGATCGATCACCTGATCCAGATTAATGTGTTCCAGAGTTATAAGATGGAGATATTCGAGCATGTGCCTTAGACCGCACACGGTGGGTCCTGATATCGACCGGTCCAGGCCATCCTTCTCCCAAATGTCTAAGATTCCAGCTCCTGTGTCTGAATCACGTGTGTGTCCACGCCATGCTGCGGTGCCCTTGATGAGTGTCCACTTTTTTTTACCTTTATCCTTTTACCTTCCCGCACAAGGATGGGCAAAAATACATCAATGTATTTTTCCCAATACATAGACATACTAAATATAAATACCCCTCAATTAAATGTATCAAAATAAAATACAAAATACCAGTGCAAGAAAATGTATTTCAAATATAGTAAATGCTTGTTTCTGAATTTTCCGTTTTCTCGCAATTTGGTATAGCAGAGCATTCAGGTTTGTACACAAAGCTCTGGTGAATGTCACACAAAGGAAGAACAGTCACAGAATGTCAGTGTAACTAAGCAAATGTCAGGTTTTGTTCACGGACAAGAGGATTTAAAGGCAGATTGACAGAAGGACCAAAATGCAGGTTGCGATTCAACAAAATAAACTTTGTTTTAACTAAACTGTTAATGCCGAGTGGCAAAGGGAACACATGGTTTAAATACACTGGGAAGATGCAAGTGATTGGACACAGGAGGAAACAATCAGGGTCACAGCCGACAATCACACTCACAGGGGAAAATACACCAGGGCAGGAAGTGAAGTTAACCGAGGGCCACGAGACGCAGGAAACTACAAAATTAAAAAGGAACTGAACCCACACAGTGACAGCACAGCTATTTAAAGACAACTTTGATTATGTATGTATATGTATATTTGATTATGATTTTATAATATGCCTTTTAAATAAAATAAAAAATGCCTGGCTAACTGTGAACTATATTTTCTGCCAGTAATTGATATGGAATTATAACATTCAAATTCAGAAGACACAGCTTAACTAATAGAATGCAAGATTAGATGGTCAGACGTCTCTTGATAAGCTTATCATGAACTACATGCTCCCAACCTCCCTCTGCCTATAGTTAGCTACTCGACTGATGGGTCAACTCGTTGCCGTGGGGCGATGGTGGCACATAGAGTAGAAAGGGTGTTCAACAGGGTTAGCGGTTCAAACCCTGGCTGCCACGTGTCCCATGTCAAAGAATCCATTAGCAAGACACTGAACCACTAACTGCTGGTCTCCTTTACGGCTGCACACTGATCCCACTTTGTGGGTTTGGTTAAATGCAGAGAACAATTTTCCCAAGGGAATCAATAAGGGATACTTCTTCTTCTTCTTCTTCTTCTTCTTCTTCTAAACACTAGCCTAGCCTAGATAGAATGCTAGCACCATGTTAGCATAGACTGCTACCTTGATATTATACCGCTGATTGATCTGTCACACTCAGATAAATATTTACCGTGACAATCCGTTGAACATGAGGATCTGAAGACTGAACTCGTGAACAGTTTTTTGATTTTACTTGTATTTGAAATACTTTGAAATAATACATAGACATCTGTTCACACACAACAAGCCTCCAGAGTCCATTTCCCTCAACACTCAAATTCGCTGACGACAGCAGACAAAAAGAAGAGAGTCCAGTCCATCAAAAGCCTTTCAATTCACAAACAGAGAAAGCTTTTCTCAAGACACATTGGAATGGTGCTCAAATATGAACGACTGGAAGAAAAATTAGGAACACAAACATTTACACACAAATAACGATGAGTTGGTTGAGTGCAGTTTTCCCAAAATGAATCGCTTCCCTCCCCCAACCTCCCTCTCAAGGCAGTGATTAGCCCCAGAGAGAGAAAGGCGAGAGCTGATCTCTAGAGCAGAGGTCTCCTTTCGCTCCCATCCAGTGCCTAGCACCTGCCAAACAGCATCACATCCCACTAGCCCTCTCTCCCTCTCCCTCAGCTGCTCGCTCTTTCCTGCCCCCTTTTGTGGAGGGAACAGCTGAGGATGAACCTGAACCTCACAGAGTCCCCGAAGGCGTGTCGCCTATTTTTATTGAATTACATAAATGGGACTGAAAAACCCTCCACATTTCTGATGCCTGGCTGCTGCCAATGAGGGCCGATTGTATTAGATGGTGTAGCGTGGATGTTTTATTTTTGTACCGGCCCCTTGGAATAAAAACAGTGGACTCACCTTCTGTAGGCTGGTTGGGTTCAACTGAGTTTTGTCAATGATTTTTATTGCAACCTGGAAGAGACATCAAGCAAGATTTTGATGAGGAGAAGTAAACAAAACACTATTAAAACTTGCCTCGCTTTCATTTATACTGATGTTATTAACACCTCTACCTATTGTACAATATACAGCAATATATCTGTGTAACATAAATAACATCTATGTCTGTGCATCACTGTCAATGAGGCCACCCTATAAACGGGTAAATTGCTACCGATGACTTTATGATTGATTGATGATTTTACTCTTCTTGAGTAATCTATTATATAAATTTTCGGTTGCCAGGTTGTAAAAGATATCCAGTGTGTGTCTTTCTTTTTGATAGCATATTAAACACTTTTATCAAACTACTAAGGAGTGGTCGTATGGTCCAATCAGTCAAAGCATCCCAAATGTTGTTCTGGTTTGTATGTGATCTATTAAGCTTTAATAAACGGTGTATCATGCATTATACATTTTACCACATAAAAACATTTCCCAAAATTGACCTTGTCATATAGTGCTACCCATATGGATTGAAATCATTTGTCAATGAGTCAATCCAAAAACTGGATATTTGACGTAAAAAGCATTGTTGAGATTGATGTAGCAGGTCTGTATAGCTGGATTTACCGTAAGACTGAAATGTTGTGTATCAATATGGGGCATGTTTGCACTGCTGCTAGTCACTCAGATGTGACTTAGTTGAGTTTAACACTTAACCAAGTCACATCTATATGACCAGTAACATGAGGTGACTGACTGTTGTCTTTCGTCACTCATCCATTAACTACCCATCCATCTCCTTCCTCGCTCCCACCAAGCCCCCCCGCCGTGACGGCCCTTTCTTGTCTCACCTCCTTGCCCGTCAGGATGTGGCGGGCCAGCTTGACCTTAGCAAAGTTTCCTTTGCCGATGGTCTTCAGCAGGCGGTAGTTGCCGATGTGCGGCTGCTCGTCAGAGCAGGAAGCGATGGAGTTCCTGCAACGGGCGCCCAGGGACCGGCTGGACTGGCTGGTGGCCTTGTCGGAGCGGCTGGCCCCCAACGAAACATGCTGGAAGAAACAGAATATAAGTGTGTGGGCGGTGTTCAAAACAGAGGAGATGGGGTGGTTCCCTCACCTTGCACCATAATCAAATGTAAAAAGCAGGGGTTAAAAATGCAATGTAAGTCGCTTTGGATAAAAGCATCAGCTAAATGACCTGTAATAATCAAATATACCGCAAAATATCAATTTTATAAGCTGGACTATTGGTCCACACAAAATGTTTACAGAATGAGATTTTGAAAAGTAACCATCGTAGATTTAATAACAGCAGAAAACTACAAAAACTAGGAAAAGACAACACTTTGGCAATATCAAAACATCGAAAATAAAAGATGTTCTTGACATGAATATATTGACCATATATTATTATAAATGCCTGTACCCATGGAGCGCCGGTGGTCTCCAGAAGCTACGTGATCGGAATTGGTCCCTTTTGTCCCTATAAGCTAGTTATTGTCACGGTGTGGGTTTGTGTCCTGTTTTATTTTGTAGTTTCCTGCCGCTTGTGTCCCTGGTTTAGCTTCACTTACTGGCCTGCCGTGTCCCCCCCTGTGATTGTCTGCCCTGTCCCTGATGTGTCCCTGATTGTTTCCACCTTTCCAGTCACCCGCACCTTCCCAGTGTATTAAAGCAATGTGTGTCTTTTGTCCCTTGTCGTGTCATTGAATGTGTTTCCTGAGGGTCTGAATGTCTTTCCCCTGTTTGAATTCCTGGTACCCGGCATTTTGGATTTTTGATTAATAAAGTAGTTTTTGTTAACTCTGCACTTGAGTCCTGCTTCCACAACCTGTTGTGACAGTTATGAACTTTGCACATCAAAGAATATGCAGACAAGATGCTATTTTTAGACAGCAACTAAACAGTTTTTAAAACTCTCAGCTCCACTGTTTGTTAGAGCACGTAGAGACCTTATATATTATTTAGAAATCCATTGACCCCAATTTAACCTGATTAAGCCATCTCTATTACTTCGATTGAGCCATGTTGTTGAAAAAAGATAAGATAATTATTTCCCAGAAAGTAAAAATGCAAAGAATTGATTTCTACTATTTTTTTCTTAGTGAGAACATTTAAGGCCTACGGCAAAGGTCCGGGAGGGGTGAGGGAGCTGCTACTTGACCTCCGGAAGATGTCTTAATCCGATACGACAGAGCGAAAAGGTAATGCTCTCTGCTGCACCCTGAAGTAGACCTGGAGCGTTCACAGCCCAGTTAGCCGCTGCCGCATGTTACCAACTTGATTAACAACGGTTCCGAAGCCTGAGTCACGGACAATGTTCAGGGAGGAAGCCGAGCAGAAGAAAAAGGGACGACAACAATGTGCGCTTTTACACAAACAAAGTCGGATGCATCGCAGTGTGAAGCAGCTTCTTGTCATGTGACCTGGAAAGACACAGAGGAGGAATAATAATAATGATGATGACGACGACGACAATGATGATCGTGGGGGGTGGAAGAAAACCAAAGCAATGCCAAGGGATGGAGAAACCACTATATAAATTTAGAAAAAGGACGAATGTAAGTGTAAAGAGGGAAAGGGATGTATAGCAGAAAAGAAGGAGCAGATGCCGGCACAGTGGTCCCTGGCCAGTCACGGGCGTCACACTTCCATCCCCCCCAGCGTGTCATCTTGCTCTCAGCTTTGCACAAACACACACACACACACACACACACAAATACTCAACCTCACGTTCTAACTTCAAATACTCCTTCCTATCCGGTTCTCATGCTCCACCTTGATCCATGTCTTTCTAAAATCTAAATTGGCCAGCATGACCCAACCGACAGTGAGGGGGCTGGGGTCCATCAGCTCCCTATAGGTGCCAACGTGGCAACACAAGTTTCACCCCATCCACCCGTCCCTGCATCCACTCGCCTGTCACAGATTCTAATAACAGCAGGATCCCGATCAATTTTAACTGTTTGTAATCTATCGTGCACTCACAAAAAAACGTAAACTCACACGCTTGTGCACCAGTTTCATACATATACACACACACACGTACTCGCTTAACGACCCCTCTAGCTCTGCTAACAAACAGATGATGGAGGGTGTGGGGAAGGGGGGCTTTGCCAGAAGTATATAAGCAGAGAAATGCGGTAATGCAACGGCAATCAGTCATGTCACCATTTTGATGCAGGATAAATTGGATGCACAGGGAGCGTGCAGATAGAGAGATAGACAGACTCGACTATTTTCCGTCTGCCTCTCATGAATACATCCCGGTCGCTTCAGTCTTTATTAGAGGCCGCTTCTGTTCTCCACCGTGCTGAATGTATGCCGCTGTCTGACACCCACTGGCTCTGGGGTTGGGCGCTTTGTAGGCTGCGCAGCGACGGACTGCACATCGTTTCACGCAGTAATCCCCCTTCAATTCATGCGAACAAAACCCAGAGATCCTACATACATTTACTGTGGCCTTCTGCGCTCACGTCCCACCCATCCAATTTCTGGGGAATACACGCACGCAGAGAACACGTACACGTACACACACACACACACACACACACACACACACACACACACACACACACACACTCAGACACAGACAAGAGGCGGCAGCAGCAAGGAGTCTAATGTGACATCACTATCTCTCTACCGCCTTATAATAAGAGGTGACGCTGTTTTTTAGGCTTTCTGCGCATATCCGCCGTGTTATCGGATGGATGGATACCGGGCTGCCGGGCCCGCCATCGGCTCTACCCGGCGCAGACTTCAAGGTTAGCTCCCTTTCTTTTGTGAAAAAAGAAAGAAAAAAAGATAAACACAAAAGAGCCTGCTCTGCTAAAATGATTTATCCAATATTACCTCCCGAGTCCTTTCAGTCAGCATCCATGATGACCCCCCCCCCACACACACACACACACACACCTCCGACGCCTACACCGTGAACAACCCTAGTGAATGAATGCCAAAGGGCCACATATATTAGGAGGTTTTTTTCCCTTTTGCATGAACACAAACAGAGAGGCTGCAATTGCACTTACATGGTCGCCAGTACTCCTGTCGTTTCCAGACGGTAATGCAGACCGAGAGGACATGTTGTTTCACTCTCTCCTCTTTTTCCCTGAGTGAGAATCGCGGTGCGTTGGCACGGATGCTGTTCACGGGGCTCCGAACCGACACAATGACATCCGCAGTCGCGACCCCGATCGTCCCTAAATCAATCTTCTCCAGCCGGCCGAGCCGCGGTCGAGAGAAGACCTCTGCCTGTCATGGCAGCGACGGATATCTGGAGGAGAGGGGGGGGGGTATCCTCTCAAACAAGCTGCATTTATTTCCACCCTGCGCCTTACAAAAATACGTTTTTAGATGTATTAAATAGAAAAAGAAAAAACACGGCAGATCAACGGTGCAGCAAATTCAATTCAATGCAAATTCCTGGCATCGAATCAAGTGCTTGAAATGCGGTGATGTTTGGCCGGAGCCCAGCGTGTCTGTGGCGACTCTCCACCCGCTGCCTCGTTTCGCCAGCAAAAACAAACACGGCTCGCTGTGGACGTGTAGCATCTCCCTTCGTCAATAACACTGCCCGGTCGTGCACTTAATTCAGCCTGCGACCCAAAATGCTACCCGCTCCCCCTTTTTTTGCAGCAAGCTGGCAGGAAAAAACAGCCCAAGGTCCGACGGCGCCGTTGGGTTGGGGGTGGTGGGAGAGGGGAGGGGGGGGGGGGGGGGGGGCGGAATGATCAGAAATCGGTGTTCCCGGTCGGAAGAATGCACCGAGTAGCCTACAAAGCCCGGGTCTCTTGCGTGTATATAGATTTTTATTTTGTTTCTGTCGCACACAAGCTAAGCAGACACGTGTCCTAATACATTAAAGACGAGAGAAGGAGATTTATTGTAGCCTATATATAATACTAACCTATAGGATCCATAGGCTACTGGTAAAATATAAAATAATAAAAATAATAAAAACATCATGGACCTTAACAATCGATATAAGTTAGAAATCAGTAGCTATTTAATATTTCCCAGGATGTGCTGGTGCGCATATTTGGATTGATCAATCTTAGTACTTGTTTTAGACGATGGAAGGATAAATGCTCCAGTTCACCAACGCCATGTTTATAATTGGGTTATTGCATATTTTATTATGAAAACCCCCATCTCGTTGCTTCCTGTCTTAACTTTCTAGCCACAGCTGGCTTGATGCAGCTGAGATGCGGCACATCTGAGATGCTTACAGGTCCAGCAGGCGACACGACCCCCCGCCTGTGTTATCAGAGCGGATTAGTGCATAAAAAACTCGCCAAAAACGCTAAAGATGGCCGAAGGATAGAGCCTCTAGGTCTAAAGGTCTAAAAACCTTTTGATTTATTTCAGTGTTGTTTGCTTTTATAAGGTCTGATGTTTAATGACGGGTTGTGTGTGCATGCAGTGGCCTCCACCTCCCCAGATAAAGCAAATACTTTAAAAAGGCAGAGGAATCATTTTAAATAAAACCCCTGTATATGTAATTCGACCAAAAGGTATTGGCACTTGACAGAAAGAACCTTATCCTCTTCTCAGCACACTGAAAACTGCATGTGCGCAAGACTTTTTGATAACACTGACTCAGGTTTCTAGTTAGCCCAAGCTCTGGTTTATGGTTAAGGCTCAGGTTTATAGTTTGGGTTGGCTCAGGTCTCTGGTTTATTGTTATGGCTCAGGTCTGTAGTTCGGACTGGCCCAGACATATGGATGGAATCTGTCATTATGTTTTATGCAATGTCAAATCAGAATTTTGATGAAGATAGTAATTTTGAAACCTCAACATTTTTGGGCTCCTGGATTTAGCTAAATACGTGAAAGAAATACGATTCTATTAACTCGGTGAGACTACAATAATGATAGGATTGAGCTAAATGGCAACAGTGAACCTGGGGATCTTCAATTATTACCAATATTATCTTATCATCTCAGCATGCAAGCATTTGCCAATAAGCTTAAACATAAAATATAGCTAGGGCTAAGGGCGTATGATCTTTCTCCAAAAGAACATTTTCTAGATGAAAACAAAAGTTACAGGGTTTATGAAAGTGAGGCAAACATCCATCCACCCATCCATTGTCAAACCGCTTATCCTGCACACAGGGTCGCAGGGGGGCTGGAGTCCATCCCAGCCAACTTTGGGCGAGAGACGGGGTTCACCCTGGATTGGTCGCCAGCCAATCGCAGGGAGACAAACAACTATTCACACTCACATTACACACCTACGGGCAATTTAGAGACCCCAATACCCGGAGAGAACCCACACAGACACGAGCAGAACATGCACACAAAAAGGCCACCGGGCAGAGCCTGGACCTTCTTGCTGTGAGGCGACAGTGCAAACCACCACACCAGCGTGCCGCCTCTTGAGGCATAAATATTTCACTTAGTGTCAACCTCACCACATCAAAAATCAGTACTCAATCTTCTAGACTTCAATGTAATCTATTCTATGATTGAGAAATTACAGTCAGACCAAAGACGTGGACAGACCGAACCACACCGTAGCCCAAATCCAGTATTTGCATGAAGTAATCCTGAGCCCTGATTTGCAATCTTGCTGACACTACCTGACCTAGTATTACAATTACGATAGCTTCCTTAGTACAAAAGGTATAGGGAGGAAACAGGGTAAGAGAAAAATACAGTATCTCAATGGACTGATTTTAAAACTGGCTTCAACCACTTTGATCAAATAGAGATGTCTTCTAAAATCAAAAAGAAGCTTCTTGAGCTGCACAATAATCCATCTCATAGGTATTGAATCAAGGAATAATATTTTTTCAAACTGCATTATTCTGCAACTTTGACAATTAGCTACAGCAGACTCAAGATGTCAAACTCTTGTTTGCTAGTTATAATTTGAATTGGCTTTTTTTCAATTTAATGGGGGAATAGGTTTTGGTCTTGTAATGTCACACAAAAGCCACCAGAGGATGACAATGTGTAACTGATGATGCGTATGTGTCTGTGATGTGTATCTGAATGTGTCCGAGGTCCTTAACCTCTCGTTGAAAGAAATTACATGCAAGTCTAACTTCCGTTCTTGCAAGCGAGCGAGGACCAATTCCAAGCACTATAAGTGATCTTCAAAGGTGGATGAGAAAACAACAATGTCATCAAGGTATAACAGAAGTAACGAGAGACTGGTCACCACAAATGCATTCCATTAACTGTTGGAAGGTACTGGGTGCATTGCACAGACCAAAGGGCATTCAATTAAACTCCAAAAGTCCAAATGGGGTGCAGAATGCTGTGTTGGTCTTGTGTTTCTCAGCAACCGGCACCTGATTATATCCACTGGGAAGGTCAAGTGTGGAAAACTATTCAGCCCCACCCAAAGCATCCAGGGACTCCACCCTCATCCTCCAAGGTGACGGAGCACATAGGCAACTTTGTCTGAAATACATGCAGTGCATCCAGTGGGGTGTTGGGTTTGGGCCATGTCTCCTCTAAGCCAACATAACTCCACTATGCCCCTATTTACGTTAAATAGGGCCTTAGAGATCAGTACACCTGGAGGCAGACAGCTTTCATCTTCAAGTAGAGGTTCGAGCAACACTGGAGGCATGGGTGGCGGTAGCAGAACTCGGGGAGACAATGGAGATGAATTGGGATGCTGGGATGCGTACAGGTTGACCTTTGATTTTACCGTTTCCCAAGTATCGTTGTTCATTAAGTAACTCAATGGAGTGGCACTCTAACAAGGCCTCTTTCCAGCCCCGAGTGGCAGATTTTAATAGAGGGAACTGAAAGAGGTCACGGCCAAGCTGAACAAAGCGCTCATGATAGCAACGTCGAATGATATTCATGCCAAGCAAGCTGCGGAATGACAGTTTTTGCTCCTTAATACGAGGGTCTTCTGTGCTCTTCACGACCCATACCCCCATCCGGGAAGGTTCTCGCTCAAGACATTGACATCAAGTTCCAAGTAACCTATGTAGGGGATTCCCAATCCATTCGCTGCCTTCAACTGCAGCCAATGGCACTGTCGCAACCCGTCTTCACCATGTGACTGAAAGTTCTATGAAGAATGTTTATGTAATAGTAGAGACCATAGACACAGTGTCCAGTAAGCAAGGAACTGTAACACCTCCCATACTAACTTCCACTATTGGACATTCCCCTATCAGTTCAGGTGGACGTTTATCCTGGTTGTTTGAGGCTGAAAACCCTCCTCCTGGTATCTGACTTCCTCTCTTTATAACATGAGAATAGTCTCTGAGAGATTCCCCTTCCCTCTGACTACTTTGAAAATCAGCCTTCATCGTTTCAGCTGCAAGCCTTGTCTTCGTCATGCCACTGGGGGGTGTGGCTGGAAGACGTCACCTTTGTAAAAGCCCAAATTCTCTACCAACTGCTTCCTCGCTGGGTGCGGCGGCTCTCACCTGAGATCCAAGTGACCAGGAGGTGTGTGTAAAATGTATAAATTATGAACAAAAGTTTTCCAAATACAAGGACTGACGTGACTTGTGAATGCAGCATGTAATCTTTGTTACATTTTTTTTCTGACTTGGGAAATCACATTCTTCTTTTCAAAGAATTTATGAAGAAAATATTTCCAGATTGATCGTTTCTCAAAACGTGTACTTATGCAGTGACACCATGGAAGAGGAAGACATATTTTTTGAACAACATTCTCAGATAACTTCAAATAGAGCTACTGGTGATGATTGTGTTCATCACCAGTGCTTCTCTTTGGGGTTGTCTTAGTCAGATGAAGTGCAATGCTATTCTCTCTGTGTCCAGATTTGGTCGACAGAATTTCTCTTACAACACTCTAACTTTATTTATAGAGTAAGTGCGTTTTGTTGGGGTAGTTTTGCTGATATCTGACTCTTGTGTGTGGGAGCAAAAACGTGCATGTGACATCGTAGACCATCTAGGGCGATAAAACATGTCACATTCTGCTCATTCATGTGAGTCACTTTCCAATGCTTGTGCATTGTTCTCATAGATTTAGCTGTGGTTTCTACATGTTCCTGATCACATTGTAAATACTCACCAAAATGTAGAAAATAATTTACTGTATTAGTGACTGGCGATTGTAAAACCAACATTAAATTAAAATGCACAGCCACAGTGAGATGATTGATAAGCATTTATCCAGCATTTCAGATTCTTTACACAAACCTGTTTCTGAAGTATCCTGTGGAAAATAAACTAATGCTGTTTAGAAAAGAATCCTTTTGGTCTTCATTTTATCCTTATTCTTGAAACCAGTGCAGTTGATGAAGAACACACTTCATCCACTTCATACAAAATGGAGAGCTCAAGCTGCAGGGCCGTATGTTTATTGAGGCTGCATTGATTCCAGTACAAGAGGTGCGTGCAGTGGTTGGATTCTCCATGGACTACGACTTGAATGCCTACTTGTTGTTACATCCTGCTGCTGTATGTGGAAACATCATTCACCTGTTTTGATGAGCTCAACTATGTGAGGAAGAAGCATTAGGAAATGTTTTCTTGTCTCCAGTAAAATGTTGTATAAATGTGACTTTATGAAGTATTTTGGAAAACAAACACTGGACTGATGAGTGCTCTCAGCATTCTGTTTGAAACCGATTAAGCTCACACCCAGAGAAGAATTCGGTTAAAAACATAGAGGTGCCTCTGGCGCCACCGTCAGACTTTTCATTGCAGAGCATTTCATTATTTCATCCATCCAATTGTTGTTTCATGATCATCACAACCTTAAACTTTCATTTGCATGTTTGAAGAAAGCAGGATTTGTTTCGCAGACCCAACTTAAAGCTTAATTACCTCATGAAATACGTATTATTCTAGTGTTTAAAAGTGTTTACAAGCCATGATCTTCTTACCCTTTGATGGTTCCTCAACTGTGTGATATGTGGCAGTGCTTTAATCTGTACATGGACTCATTTAAATTCTATGTTCTACAGAGCAATCCACATGACTTGGTGTGCCTGCTTGTTGAAAGATGCAAAGCTGGTATAGGGCCATTTAAACCACGATGCATTTCATGACACATGCAACCGATTCACTTCATTTAAAAGCTTCACATGAACATTCGGTTGAACCAAATAAAATCTTGCAAAACAAAAGAGTTTCATGAGATGTCTCAAGTGTTTTATTGAATTCTTCACCTAAGCAGTGAGGTGGAGAAATGTGCTGAGTGGACGGCTCTGTGCGGCTCTGTTCACATCCACTCTCAGGAGAACGGGGATTTCCAAAGGATACAACAGGAGTGCTGCCCTAAAAAACAAGAGATAGGAGTGTTTTTCCTCTTTCTCTTTGGTAAGGAAATACAACAGGAATGCAACACAACATGTATTTCATATCCAGATTCAGTTACACTGAGTGTTGGTGTTCACACTAAATCCTCCCTATTCTAACATTATCAGCCGGTCGCATGTTATTGTAATATAGAGACATTCACAGGCTTCATCTTCTACAATGTTAGCAACAAGCTACTTAATCCACTGAACCGTGGACGCCCACAGCTCTCGAGCCTGTCCTCTGGTCAGCCATCCTTCTCATCTGGTCGGGAGTGAGCGATTGTCTTTTCTTGTCATGGTCACCCTGGATGTAGTGCAGGAAGTCGAGTCACTAAAAACAGAAGAATAGAAAGTAGTTCACTTAGTCTGCTCTCCTTGTCTCCTAGCTTGTTTACACAATAACACACATTACTTTATACTACATATTTGTATAGGTCGGAAACTCTTACTCATCTTTTAGTCCACAGCGAGAGGTAGTGGCAATAAATAAATAAAAATAACAGTGAGTAACACATATTACATTTTGCTTATTGAATCAGTGATGTAACGCGAAGAACCAAGTTACTCAGGTTTTAGCTTATTCTCGCAGGTCACAAGCTTGTACTCTAATTATATTCCTATATTTCTAAAGATAAACTTGAATCAGTGATAATATATATAGTCTGTAGTGGACCACGAGTCACGCGCTCACACTCACCTTTTGGTCCTCGGTGAACAGCAGCAGCACAGTTGGAGCGTGGTAAAAGTATTGGTTAGTAAAAACAATATTTGCATAATAGAGTAAACATACATAAACAGATTCACAATATAATACACAAACCTACTTCTAACGTTGCCTGTAGGTCGTAGATTATTCTAAGTCACTTACCTTTTTCGTCCACGGTGAACAGCAGCATCTCAGGTGTCGAAGTAGGAGAGGTAACAATACATAGTGGTAAGTGGCATGGACAAATTATCTTTGCATGACATAATCAAAATGATCTATGAACAAATAGATGGAGCAGGCAGTTTATAGTAAATTATATTACTTTGTATTCATGTTATAGGTCACTGTCTCAACAAAACAGAAGCTGGTACTTACTTTTTCACGTGGCCTCAAATGGGAAAAAAACATGATTAAGTGGATTAAGTAATTGTTAAATATTTAAATATTATGGATTTCCACAACGGCATATACTATATTTTTGGCCATATAAAGGTATTTCTAACCTCGTGGGTTCTACTTACTCTGTTGTTTGTCTCACATCAGTTCAGTTTTCACTGATACCCTCTTGACCTGTAAAGGAATGCGGATACTGTGGGTGGGGGAGAACAATGTTGTCTTCTTCAGCCCTGCTAGACGCAAAGGCTACATGCTCGGGGTGTCAACGCCTCTGCCAGACGCAAAGGCAACCTGAGGCATCACCAGCCAAGCCGGTCGCGAAGGCCGGCCGTCAGGATGAAAGAAAAGTTGATCGATCCACCGCACAATGAAGAAGTACTACAGAAAAGCCCCAGTTCAAGACGCTACATGGGGGACACAAGCCATGCCAGACGCAAAGGCTACCAGTACCTGCACAAGGAGTCAAGAGCCCCGCCAGACGCAAAGCTTTCCCGGATGAAATAAAGGTTGACCAATGGACTTGTGGCAATATGACTCCTTACTAAAGAAAAGCCCCAGTGCAAGACGCTACATGGGGGACACAAGCCCTGCCAGACGCAAAGGCTACCATGGCAACCACTGTTCCTGCTGCAAGTGGACTGCAAGGTTGCTCCAAAGCTTCCCGGAGTATTGTCAATCCGAGTCGCTGTCTTCAGACCACCGCGCCCTCTTCGCAGCAGACTCCTCCCCGTCGCTCTCGTCCATGCGTCGTTTTGCGGAGGAGCTGAGGCCAGAAGTTGAGGGAGATTCAAGAACATCTGCATCCAGGAGCTCCTCAAAAGAGTCTTCTGGGGGCACTGGCCCGATGTCTTCAATGTCCAGCACAGGGACCTGAAGCGGAAACTCACCCACGACATCGATCTCAAAGTCCTCCTCCTCATTGGGTAGCCCTAACCTGTGTCTTTGAAGCATATGGTCAATTTCAGCGTTCATATCAACATCATCACCATTGGCGTGAAGGTTAGGGTTAAGGTCAGCTCGAGGGTCAGCGTTAAGGTCAGCGTGAGGGTCAGGAATAGCAGCAAAAGCAAAAGCATAGGGAGCAGGGTAGCGAGCAGCATAGGGAGCAGGGTAGAGAGCAGCATAGGAAGCAGGGTAGCGAGCAGCATAGGGAGCAGTGTAAGGAGCAGGGTAGTGAGCAGCATAGGGAGCAGCATAGGGAGCAGCGTAGGGAGCAGGGTAGTGAGCAAGGTAGTGGGCAGGGTAGGGAGCAGCAAAGGGAGCAGCGAAGGGAGGAGCAAAGGGAGCAGCAAAGGGAGCTGCGAAGGGAGCAGCGAAGGGAGCAGCGAAGGGAGGAGCAAAGGGAGCAGCAAAGGGAGCAGCAAAGGGAGGAGCAAAGGGAGCAGCGAAGGGAGGAGGAAGAGGAACCTGTGGCTCACTGTCCTCCCTGGGGGGCTCGATCTCCTGCAGCTCGTCCACACAATCCGCTCCAACCACGCCGAAGAGGGGCCAAAGGGGTCCACCTGGGTAGAACAAATTCATAAAAAAAAGTTACATTCACAACCAACACAAAGCTACCACCTTAAAGTAATACCCAATGCTGTGCAGTTCTGTTACGGCTATTTAAAACATAATCAGAAGCTCCATGTGTGCTCGGTGTAATAATCATGTTACATGTTACATATACAGCTACAAGTTGTTGTATCATATTTGACTGCTAAAAATGTTCACTAAGGTTTGCGCCATTCTGAAACATTAATGAGGGGATGTTGGAGCATGACTCTTGAGGAAAACAATGAATTTTAGTCTGCTTTAAAAAGGAACTAACGTTACATTAGTACCTCCCTACAGAGAGCCTACATTAATAATCAGAAGCATATGTGAAAATGTTACTTCCATGTGAGAACATAGCCACCGTCTGCACTTATAAAGGGAAAGTACGTGCATCACACTCAATCCCTGCCAACGTCTGTTTTAGAAGTATTTGATCAAAATGAATTGAACTTATTCAATGTAATCCTATTGCATGGATGTTCTTAGATTGAGTTATGTCTACACATATGTATTGGATGGAAATCCTGCACACAAAAAAATTGAGTTCATCCAATGACTTACTTTTTGAGTATAGATTGAGTAGAACAAACAACATTTTTTTATATTCGATTAATGGTATCTATTCATTTGAGACAAATTTGATCAAAATAAGTTGGACTAAATCAATTTAATCCTATTTCATGAATGTTCTTAGATTAAGTCATGTCTACAAAGATGTATTGGATGGAAATCCTGCACACGAAAAAAATTGAGTTCTTCCAATAACTGTTGGAAGAACTCAATTTTGAAACAGGTGGATTTTACTCTATTCAGTGTGTATAATACTCCCTTTAGTTCATGATAATAATGATAAGATTAAAAAAAAAGGTTTTATGTGGAGAGACCCACGACCGTGGGTAACTGCCTTTAATTCAGAGCAATTAACAACACGGGTCTCCAAAATATCCACAGGAAACACGTTGTAAACTAAGCTAACGATAGGTCCATTAGCTGTAGGGAGCTAACGTTAATGTTTACTTCATCTTTCTTTCAGGCTCTTAGGCTCTAGAATCAACATCTGAGTCGGGTATTAAATGGAACTAAACCTAAACGTTCTGAAGTTCGCTTCTGGACGTTCCGTTGTTGTGATTATACAAAAAAAGTTGTTTATCTCACAACGTTCGGTAAAACTGCCTTCGGCGCCATTTTGTTTCCCCAATTTCCGAGACAAACGTCGAAAAAAATATGCATTTAAGGAAAAACAAAAATAATATTTAAACCCTTAAACATGTGTTGACACATTACACACCGTCTCTGCAAAAAAAAACCGCACTCTTGACGTTTTATTGCCATTTTACACGGAAGAAACTCCAGGAGTGCCCCAAATCAGTTTCTTCATAATTTGCTAGCTTAAATTCAGAACATTCCATTTCTAATTTTCAACATTTAACGTTATTAAGTGCGATTTTGGTACTGAGATGAGCCACACATGGATGTTAAGAACATTAATAATCACATTTGGGTTGACATGAAAACATGAAAATATTTCTTACGTGCAAAGCCGAGGATCCACCGTCTGAGTCTGCTCAGCAGGGGCTCCGCCGCAGGGGGTCCACTGGAAGACATCGTCTCCTCCACGTAAAACTCCTTAGCGTACACTCGTTAGTACTTTTAATCGGTTCTCCAACAATGTGTTCTCCACAAGTTCTTTTCCACGGAATTGGGCCTCAGACCGTTCAACTTTTTAGGTAACACAGCTACACTCGTCAAGTTCAACAGCAGAAGTGAATTCAGAAAGGCCAAGCAGCTTTGAGGTGACCTCAGTGAAACGTCACCCTCCTGTTGCCCTGACGTTTACTCACGCGCGCTGACGCTGTGCGTGAGAATGTTTGGACATGTTTGGATAGGTGTTTCCATAAATCGGCGGTGTGTGTGATAATCTGTGATGACACAGTGCATGCAAAAGAATGCAGGTTCAGCCAAGAATGATTGTTATTCTTATTCTTATTGTTGTTGTTTTAGATGTCCAATATTGAGTAGAAAGATAGAAGACATGATGATACACTTGAATCCATGCATGCTTCCATCGACATCGTGTAAAGATTGCACAATTAATACATTCCTGAACTTCTTTCCCTTCATTGCTGCAAAACATTTTTCCTCCATTGAGTATATTTGTCTTTCCTGACACTAAATTGAGGTGGTTTTCTTAAGATGATACCGGGGAATTTCATTTTTAAATGACTATTTACTATTAATATGGTCTTATAAACGCTGATAGCGAGTCGATCGCTAGATGCTGCATATTATAATTTATTTATGAAAACGAGTCACATTAATGACGACCCATGTGAGTTATCCTGAAAACCTCCACATGACGGCAGCGTTGTAACATCATTATCTTTTTATTCACTGATGTATTTTGGCCAACACATGTTGGAGTCTCAGCTGCAGTACTACAAGTATGACGGCCTTTTGTTCCAAACGGGCCACAATCCCCCCCATCTCTTCTCGTCCGTGTGTGATCAATTCGAAGATTTTCATCCAGTGGAGGCCATGCAAAGTGAACACTGTCCCATGTCGAAGTGTCCCTGAACAAGACACTTAACCCCTAATTGCTCCCCTGGCAAAATGTAAAAAGCCATGGGTTAAAAATGCAATGTAAGTCGCTTTGGATAAAAGTGTCAGCTAAATGACCTGTAATGTAATGTTACAGATAAAGTGAGACGTGATAATGGTAAATACTTAAACAGTGAACATATCTATTTAAAGGTTACATTTAAACATTCACCACCATAAACTACAGGGCAGTTTTAAATCATGCCTATTTTTTCATACAAATGTTTGTATACTTACTTAGAAAAAGAAAAGACAACAGTCTCATTAAAGTTCTTTAATTTGAATGAATACAACACATCTGACATGAGCAAATTGTCCTGTAGCCCAGACAGGAACCTGTAACTAAATGTCTCTGTTTAATATGACAAAAACTAAGATGGCACAAACCCAAAGGAGATAATAATGAATCCTACTGATATTACATCTTAGACAGCTCATGTTTCACACCATTATTATCTCCAACATGTCCTGGGTCAGAAACAACAAGTCCATTGGTGCAAGAGGAACTTGAATAAGTTTCTCATTGTTTAAAAAGATTACTATATTACTATAACTAGATTACTATATTACTATAACTATTAGTCCTGACCTTTTGCTCGTGGTAAAGTAGGATATTATCAACCAACTGGAGTATCCAAAGTTGAGCATTAAATACAATGAACCCTTTTCAGACTGTTGTATAATTATATATACAGTACTATCGGATTATTATCATTACTGATTTATTAGTGCCCTGCGATTGACTGGCGACCAGTCCAGGATGAACCCCGTCTCTCGCCTGAAGTTGGCTGGGATAGACTCCAGCCCCCCCGCGGCACTGTGTGCAGGATAAGCGGTTTGAAGATGGATGGATGGACTGATTCATTAGTGTATTAGCAACATTAGCAGCATAGGTGCTGATTTATAGTATTATATGTCCCTAAAGGTGTAGAGTATAAAACCTGCTAAAATGTAGTACTAGAATATTGAAATACTAAAGTAAAAGCAAAATTGCTTCTAACAATCCATCTTTTTTCTGTTTGGAGCAGAATCAATTTGCAGCTAACCTGTGCAGCCTACATGATGAAGTGAAGAAACCACTCGGCAACACCTCCCTTGGACTGCCCAGACACCAACGACAACATCTTTACATGTCACAGCAGCTTCATCACTGCTCCTTCATCTTCTACTGAAAACGTCCACAAACAGGTTGTGTCTTCCTTGTCCTCCTCCGTCACAAATAACTTCACTTACACTGAAACATATGGACGTTTGTATCTCGTATTTCCACTTTAAAAGTTAAGTTAAGTTAAGTTAATATCATCCTACTTTTTAAAAGAAGCACTGTAATTGCAATTGTATTGCACCAAGTGTTCATTATAATGTTTTGGGGGAAAAAATATTCTCTGGCTTCAACCACAGTTTGTGTTTTCTTGTTTCCATTGTTAATGCAAGGTTTCTTTATTTGTGTTATTTTCATTGTTTGCACTTTATTTGAATATTTATTCTTTGACTTAATAAAATCTAACTTATTTTTTAAGAGTGTAGCTAAAACAGTTTATTAAATCAACTAGACAAATCAACTCATCAAATAAGTCAATAAAAAGAGATTAAATACTGTTCACTTAATATCTAGATCAAACAAAACCAAGAAAATAGACCACGCAGGACTAACTTGTAACATTCGAGAGGTCAGTGTAAAGGTAAAGTAAATAGTCACAAAATATAATAGAATAACACTTCAAACAAATCCCAGCAAATAAGATGACTAAAACAAACCACACAATGCAAGAAACACATGCAAGATGGCTGCTCTGTGTCCCTCCCTTCAACACAGCCGAAAGCCCCACAACAAAGTAAAACATAAAACATGGCTTTTTAAAAATACCATATAATAAATAGGGGAAAAAACGTAGTTGTCTCCAATGTCTGTTTAAAACAAAAGAAACATTTATATTGAAAAGAAAACTTTACCAAACATTTCATTCAGAGTACATCTTTCTGGACTCACGGCCTCTTCCCCCAGCTGGAACAGGTGATTGAGGTAATTCACCCTCGCCAAGCAAGACTGATAAAAAATGTATTAATGTTACTAACTAAAAGAATCAGTGTTAAAATCCTGCTTTTAAAGTTAGAAAGAAGCAGGGCTTACCCAATCAGTTGGCCTCAAGCGTGTGAATCACTAGGATGAAATGATCAGGTAAGCTTCGACCCCCCCTTTATAAGCGCTCTGCCTTAACCTGGGTGCTAATAGTGGACCGCCCTTTTACCTGCCCTGCCACATCCACGCCCACTTTGAAAGGTCAACGTCCCGGTGACAAAATATTATTTCATGAGTATTAGACCCATGATCTGGATGTTTGCTTTATTTAGCCTGGATTTCATGGATTATAGTTATTTGTTTAGTCTAATTAGTTTGTTCCCAAAGGCTTTGCTTTTTGATAAATAGTATTTTATTATTATTATTAGAAATTATTTTATTTCAAAATCGTCTACCACATGTGGAGCAGTAGGTTGTTTCTACTATTTTATGTTATACCACTGCTGGCCTATAAGTGTCCCTAGTGAGCCTACATTTAATACGAAACACCTCGTGGGTTTGGAAAAGTCCCCACCGCCCAACGCCTGCTTTCAGGATCCACACCAGTCGATGCGTGAGACATGTGTTTAACACAGACAGGAGAATGCCAGCACAGGCGCACTGATGGGTGTTTAAAAGGATAAGTGGGTTCAGGTGTCGAGGGTCAACTAAATTGTGAAGTGTGCAAGGACAAATGTGAGGGAAAGTGTGTGTCGCACTGTCAGCAGGAGGTCAAAGAGGATGTGGAGTGTGAGGCTAGAACTTTAACCCTGTGCTAATGAATAACGGCTGAAGGTCACAAAGCGGTGAGTCCTGCTGTGGAACTACATGTTGCATTCACAATACAGCACAGTTGGTAGTGTTTGGAGCTAACACACTTTATAAACCCATCTGGACAGCAAAAAGAATGCTAGAATTTGCATAGAATTTGCGTAGATTATTCTCTATAATCTCTTTTGAGCAAAATTAACCAGAAATAAATGTTTTGTTTCATTTGATACATTTTTGTTCAGTCAAATAGCCTCACACAAATTTTAGAATAGCATTGTTATTGGAAGGCAAGAAATTGCTGAGTATCTTGGCCTGGGTTTATCAAACTTTTGAGAATTTTCTCACATACTCATGACCAACAACAACTTGAAGAATTGCATTGTTTTTGTAGGCAATGAAGAAAAACATAATACAGACTGAGCCAAGCTCAAGTAATTACAGCCAAAAAAGCCTAGAAAAGAATTTAGTTGTTATTCAGCGTGTACGGTTTCTATGGGTCTCTTAAAAAAAGGCTCCAACATTATATGAAGCAGCTAAAAGTAGCTTCAATATTAAAATGACGCATGCATGGATAATAACAATACAGCAATTTGCAGTAATTAACACATTATTTGTATAAAAATATTACTTTTGTTACTGTTGTTATTTTATTCTTAAATTTATAAATAGTAGAAAGAGTGAAGGATTTTATCTCAATCTTCTTCTTTTTAAAAAATATGTCAATGACTTCCTCTAATACATTTATTTTATCTTTAAAATGTTTTTACGCCATGATGTAATTATAATTGGTATAGCTTCATTTGAGCACAATTAGCAGTTTGTGCGGTAGGTCAGCATGACCTCCCAACAATGTGGAAATAACAAGTCATCCAATCAGAGATCCGGCGGTGTACATCTTTGGTTCCCTGTGGATTCTGGATGACAGTTCACACTCGGTTCCTACCCTTTATTTCAACCAGATAAGCTCTCTTTTGGGGTCCAAACATTGTAAGTTTACTTAAATCCCACCTCAGATTTGGATTTCCTGCAGCACCTCTTCCTGATGGGGTACAGAACACAACCTGCTTACGCAAACATGAAGGTGGAGAAGGCACACAGAGTCAAAGGTGAGACCCTGTTGCCATATTTCACAAGGGTAACCATTGTTCAGCTCCCAGACTTGTTCTTTGCCATGCAAAGTAGTTTCCGTTCTTGCAAATGGCCTGGGCCAATAAATTTGCTGCTAGCGGCAGGAACAGACAATTTGCTGGCAGATAGTGGATTCCACGACAATACAACCCGGGGGAGTCTTGTTCACAAAAACAGCAGATTGCTTTTGTTTGCTGACAGAAACACTCCCGAACCAAAAAATGTCAT